CCACAAGCATGTTAATGTTAAAATCTCCCAACAATACAATAAAATCATACTTTGAAAAATAATTAATGGAGTCAGTTAAAGCGTCAATAAATATATCTATATTGATCCATTGTGGTCTGTACGCAGTACCTATAGCAACACTATAACCATTGACCCGAGTCGATAACCACATCTGCTCAATTTGCACATTAGGCCTAATCAAATATCTCACATTAACGTCGCGTTTAATATAAAAAGCAAGTCCAGCCCCCCCCCCGGCCACCGCTCATATGTAGTGGGCGCGGAGTGACTCGGAGTAGCCGGGCACGGCCGGCGCACGAGCATCTTGCCCACTTTGGATCCATGATTCGTTAATTGCAACTATATCTAGACTATAACGTCCATAGGAATAAGAAAATGATCATGTCCTGTATTGAGTGATCCCGCATTATAAAGACCTAACTTAAATAGCTTTGACTGTGGTTTTATTATAACGTAAAATAAGTTATTGTTACAAGAACACCGCCCACTAAATGAGCGGGGACGCAGGATAAGTGTAGTAAGAATGTTCTGAGATAAGACATGTCATATTGTGCTGCATTTTTTCTCGATTTTGGTTAACTATTGTCACTGCAAGAACACCCACACAACACCCGTATATTAATAACAAATAAGGCACATATATTAATACATAGTTAAGATAAAAGGAAGTTGAAAATATGTCATGAACTTCATCATACAAGTCATACAAATCATTTAACAAAGTATATGTTACATTCCATTGCTTTTCATTTATATTTGATGATTTTAAAATGCTAAGATTATTATACAAAACTGATGAAAATGCAATGACTAAAATATTAAGCCTATTAGAAAACAACCAGAAGAAGACACAGCTAACAAGTAGCAAGTGGTAATAGATTTATGCAACAAATATATATTAAAGTAATACCATGTAAATAATAAAAAATACAGATGTAGTTAATCATTTTTGATGAGAGATCTACTAACGGCATCAACCCCAAAAATTCGGCTCAAGTCCCTCTCCGTACGAATACGCTGACGCGGGTACTCTGCTTCCTGGTGCCGGCGTGCGTATATCCTGCCTTCCCTTGTCCATATGAACCGCCAGCCCAGTTTACTTCCGATTTCACGAGCTTGCCAAAAAAGTCGCCGGTTGACTTTCGTCAGTCTCTCATTGACGTAGAATCGACGGTGCGGAGCCGGTAAACCGCCTTCAGTAGTGATGCCGCGACGAACGCGAGTCGCCATCAACACTTATCGCCGAGCTTCACAACAGCCCGTACGTGACTCCGGCACAGTTTCCGAGGACACATTTTGTTCCCACGCGTGTGGCGCTGACTAAATCATTCTCAGAAAGCTTGACACCCATCTTCACGGCCAAAGTGGTAACAATGTGTATTAAGTTTTCACCCTTCTCTTCAGGGATGCTAGTGATCTCTATATCATTACACAATAGTTCCTGATCACGCTCATTCAAATCACACTTAAGTTGCTCAATTGTATCCAGTAAAGAACAAACATTAAAGAACGAACAGTGGTCGACGTACTACTATCAGCATGACGATCTTCGAGAAGATCCACACGAGCTTCTAGCTTTTCAATTTTTTTATCGGATTCATTAATTCTGAGCACCAGAGCAGCTAAAGTACCATTAAGTAATTCCATTTGGAGATGTGTGGCTCTCATTTCTTCTTTGAATTGACGTACCTCCATTATAAGCAGTTGTCGATCATACTTTCACTCTGTGCTCTGTCGTCGACTAATAAGTCCTGAGGACTCACCACTGCTGCACCTCTATTTCTATTGACCCCTTCTACGCCCACATGTACCGGGGTATCTGTGTTATCGGTTTTCGGCTGTTTACTAATACATACCACACATTTCCATTTAGCCCTTTGATCTTCTGACATGCTATTAAAATTGGCTCAATTTAATGTTTGCACATTGGAGGTCGTAGGGCTGTTGACACCTACTGCATTGAAGATGTTTCTTTGCCACAATTGGGTTACGGCAACCAGCACAATGAATTTTATTCGGCATAATGTTTATACTTATATTTAGGACAAACAAATACCAAAAAATAAAAAAAAAACGTAAATAAGCTAATAAACATGTAAAAAACAAAAAAAAAGCGCAAGAAGCTTTACGGATCGGGACTAGATCCCCCGTTGATAGATGATATTACTACATTGAACCGCTACGCCAAGCGACCTGCAGCGAAAATAGCCAATAAAAGCATAAAACACACTAGTCAGGTGTAGGGTGGGTAACCGGTTTAACTTTCAAGGTGACACGGCATGAATATATTGTTAAAGCACAGAAACACAATTGCTGGAGTTATTTAACATTTATTTCCGTACTCTCACTCACACATTCTGAACTGTCACATACACAAATCGATAGATAATTTTGTAAGGATCACACCGATATATAGTTTACTGCATAAATACTGTTACTAATGTATGATATGATTTTTAAACTAAATCTCAAGTATACACATGTGCGGTCGGTAACTCATTCAACTTGCCACTCCCAGGCGTCCATTTACATATTAGCACAGGAAATAAATCTGATACTTACTTCTCCATCTCATAGTGGCTGGTTGAAGACATGCTATAACCTCTGTCAGTCGACGTTCAAAAGCCTTCAAGTCTGTAAGAGCACCTAATACATCAATCATTTATATTAATGTAGATGTTAGTATTATCCATCAAAGATTCTGTATCAAATTAAGCTAGAATACAATAACTGTAATTAAAAATTGAAATTAAATTTTTTTCATACTAATGTTTGAGTTTCATACCGCTTATCACTTGGGGTTTTCTTTTGTTTAAAGAACATAGTATATGGTATAAAAAGGATACCACTTCAAAGGATGAATGGACGCAGTAGACCCATAGGCAGACATTGCAGATGGATAATGTCCATGGTGGCTCAGTTCAATGTAGGGGGACCAGATCACAAAATCCTATTATTTATACAAAAAATCTTTTTGATTTGTTTCACCACTTTATGTGAAGCTGCACCAAGTACTTAAATGCACAATGGTAGTACGACTAATTATATGAAATGCTACATACTAGGGAGGCCCTACCTAACAGCAGCAGCTGTATATCAAAAATGTGGCTTTATTCAAATAAACCCCAAGTTGGAACTATTACTAGTGCTCTTATTAAGCATAGTTCCTTTAACAAACATGTATTTGGCATAAATGTCATAATGATGAGATAGCGGCTCACCTCCCGCTGAAGTAGTCCATAACCAAAAGCTAATAGATATAGAACCTTGACACTCCAGGGTCATTTTCCAAAATTTTTAGTCACAAGAAAATGCTTGACTGACTGACTTGATGACTCCACAAGAAGCTAGCTAGGTTTGAATAACTATAATTTCTATTTTTATGTAAAATATGTGTTATATTAACGAGTAGTGGAATTCAGCCCATAATTAACCTTATCAAATTATGCTATTATAATTACAAGCAAAATATACTCTATAGATGCTATAAGAGATTTTTAATAAACTAAATATTGTTGACAAAGAAAAACCAAATATAACATAACTAGTCCACTGGCAAACGTGGGCCCCCTCCTTAGATTGCCTCATAAGGGGAATATGACTTATATGAAATTATATATTTTTATGTTGCTCCTTCATACTACTGCATTATATGCAGTATTCTTATGAGTTGCAATAATAATAAACTATTATTAGGATGGAGTATTGGTTATTAAAAATAAAAAAGGTATTGACGGAATTTATGGATAATAAAATATAAATCTACCGAGGAACTTCAAATTATGAAATTATAATCAAAGGATCTGTTATACTCCATGAATATAATACACTAGACCAGTAGCTAAAGGATCAACTGCACATTGACCTTTACCTGATGTAGAAATACTATTGAATCCAAAGAAATGCTTATCATTGTTCATATCATCCAGATTTTCACTCTTAGTATTCATGATCATCTTGATATGCAGTATATCTTAAAACAACTTCAGTTATGATTTCTGAACTATTATGTACTTATGTTTGGTAAACCTTCTCATCAAAATCATATTTTTTTGTGTTACATAAACAGTTTTGTACTTCAGGCCCAAATTAGAATAACAATGATAGTAAACATAACATAAAACTTAGAATTATTAAACTAAAACCTACCATCACAAGCCGTTTGTTCCAAAGACATTTTCGATAGAAAATATTCTTAGTAACGTTTCTTAAGGAAACAATGTTCGTAATGAATTACTTCCACATAGTCCTCAAAACGTTTGACCTAATCCTGATTTCAATTCAAAGCAAGGGGAGTTTCCCTTTTATATTATTTGGTTACTCTTACGTTGTACAACTATGTTGTTCAACTTTCAAGCTTTCAACAATTTTATTTATAAATTCGTGAACTGAATTAAAACGACTGTTTGTCTGCAGTTGTCAATGTCATTGTCATTTTTTTTATTTAACTGGCTTTACGGCTCTGTGGTGATTTGTTTATCGATATAAATATCGACATAGTCCACGCCTTACATTGCTTACGCATTCAGCCAGCGTTATCAGTGTATTGTATCGACACGTAGACAGAGAAACCTATAGACTAATGATCCGCGTGGCCTTGAGTGAGAAAGAACGATAACAAATTTTTAGGTTATAGAATAATCTTTATGACTTTTAAACACATTTAGATAAACATTTTAATTGTTCTAAGAACTGAACTGAACAAGATTCACCAATCTTAAGCTCACAAAATACTTTTTCTCACTTAAATCAACTTGTAAACTCCTTAAATCGCTACGCTGTCAAAGTTGTTTAGCAAACTGTAGAGTTTGCTAAACAAAAAAAACCGGCACGGAGAAAGGGACAAACAATCACACCACTCTATCTCATTTCTATGCAAGACGTATGCATAAATCTATCTTTTTCGTGTGCGAATGCGAAAGAAGGCGTCAATTCGTCTATAGGTTTCTCTGTCTACGTATCGACACGTGTACAATTTGATGGTATGCGTAAACGCGATGAACACAAACACAAATGTTGTAGTGTGCGTTTATAGTGACACGATTTAATTTTGCATTTGTTGTTAAGTATACAGTTGTGTGTTTTTCTTGCGCCCCCCTGATGTTGACAGAATTTTTGTTTAGGAATTAACGCGCATGGCCTCTTCAGTTGGTTGAATACTCAAAGTTGAAACGATGTGAAGTAAAAAAGTTGATACTGGTTATTTTTTTAATATTTTGCTTTGTTTGACAAATTTAAATTTAAATTAGTGATAAAAAACTACACACGTTGTAAAGAAATATAGATAACTTCATAATTCTTTACGTAAAATTTCTCTTTGGATTTACGTAAAATGTTATTTTAAATCGTGTGAGTACGCTTGTGCAAAGTTATTGCGGAATGATTAATGTGAAACGTCAAAAGGTATTTCTTAGATTTGGTTGACTATAATTCTACGTAATTTTCTAGTCTGTCGTAGACGTCTTTTGCAAAATCCGAGCTGGCAACACGTCAAGCGTCAACGTCAATTTTTTTAACAAGGACAAGGTTCAAAGTTCAAACTTCAAAGTTTAAAAGTATATCAGGTATGCAAGACTTAGAATTTTTTATTTACTTGATATTTTAAGTATAAATAGAAAAGCAATAAATTCTTATATTTCACGCAAAATTTAATGTCAAACGTGATTACTTGTTTGAATAAAATTTGTCTTTTAAAGGGGTTGAGATTTTATTATTTTCGTTAGGTATTTTAACTTCTCATAATTACTTATGATTTTACTTTGCGCTCATTATAAAAATCACGCGAGATTGCTCATGTACTAGCGCTCGCCGTAAATTTTGCAGTACACGAGCAACCCGGCTTTGACTTCACCGGCGCTAACCAATTTGTTAGTTGCAATTTTAAATGCTGATTGATCATTAAGTGAATATTTACTTTGCATAGACAAAATGCTGAAATGGGACTACATAGGGCTAACTTATGGCTTAAACATAATCTACTGACCATAAATATAACCAAAACCTCATTCGTATAGTTTATTAATTCTCGAATAAAACAACAGAACACGGATATTGGTATTCACACATGAAAATTTTTACAAACCATCAATGTACATGTCAACCAATAAGTAAACACCTACAATGAAGTATCTTGGCGTACTATTGGATGAGGAACTCATCTGGAAACCACATATGGACATGATTGTGTCACGAGTTAGGAAATTAACATGGTTGTTCAAGAATATTAGGCATATTGCTGACCTTGAACTTCATCGCACTGTATATTATGCACTAGTTCAATCTGTTGGCTATTGCATCAGAGACATTAAAAACACACTTCTTACACCTTGAGAGAGCTCAATGTTCCTTGCTCAAAACAATGACATTTAAACCTTATAGATCACCACCAATACCCTTTTTGAGAAGTGTCAAATTCTCACAGTAGGGCAGTTATTTATATACCACATCAACACCTTCTAACTCTTATAGACCTAAATAAATCATGTAACAAGCATTCAATTACTGGTATTATTGATCCCATAAGATGCTGTACTGCATAAGCAGGATGACAAAGAATTTTTCTTTCTGGATACATTTAAATAATAAAGTTAACAAAATTCTAAATTTCTATCCACTATCACTTCACAAATGTCAAACTAAAATAAGGAACTGGCTAATAACATTTAACTATGAGGATACTGAAAAATACAGATTCACATATAGGTGAAGGATATATGTGATACATATATTCCGATTAACATGACACACACACACACACACACACACGAGCACGCACGCGCGCTCGCTCGCACGCATCACGCACGCACGCACACACACACATGCGCGCACACACGCACGCGCACACACACACACACACACGCACTGGACAATCGTCTTGACATAAATTAATTCAACTAAGAAACATGGGAGAAGCTGCTGAATCCTGACTTACAGGTTCTTACTTAGTTTAGGATTCAGAGGCTTAATAGGATAATTGTAACTCATATGTGTTAATAAAGATTATTACTCAGAAACTCAACTGACATCAGACATTAATTAAAAATATAGAATTTAGTTAATGGTAATTATCAACACAATATTTTAGTTCATTAAAGAGTGAATCTCAAATTATTTTAGTGTATAAAAACCCATACAGAAGAGGGACGTTAGAACACTGGTTTAAAACCTAAAGAGTTGCTCAGACAAAAATTTAAGGAAATTAAACTTTGGCCTCTCAATACATTTATGAAAATGTAATGTACTTAAGTACACAAAAATAAAATTAGTTTTACAATAATAATTGATATTCATTCTGTAAATACCGGCAACAGACACAAGCTAGTAGTACTAGTTACCTGACTCCACAGAGTCAGTAAATCACTCTTGGGGCAATGTATTTGCTTTTACAACAAAATCCTAGAAAATATACAAAATTTGACCTGCACATAGTTCAATAACTTTATTAAACTAAGTTTGCATAAAAATAAATTTACGGATTTTATCGCGTTTATTTCACTACTTTTACTTATTTTTAATTCCCGACGTTTCGGGTGCTTTACAGCAACCATGGTCACGGGGGGACTGAGATGTTTGACGTCCCAATGTCATAGTTAGTCCGCCTACCTTCAGTTTTTGAATATTAATTTTTGGTCCGATTTGCGCAAAACGTGCTTATAGTATCATGAAGTCTTGCAGTGGTATGCTTAGGTTTGGGTTTAATTTTGTTAATTATAGGATCTCAAGCAGGTGGCAGCACCCATCCATCTTCTCTATTGAATTAAAAATAATAATAATTAAAAATAATATTGGTAAGGAAGATTTGGAGGCTATACGTCAAGATATTTCGTCCTTGTTACGTCGTAGTTCAGTGCCGAAACCAAACCTTCCTAAAGACGAATTTACAGCGTTGATTAACTTACGGAACAGACCAGATCTAACGATTCTCTGCTCGGATAAAGGAAATGCTACGGTAACAATGGACACGTCAGAGTATAATTTTAAAATACTACAGCTTTCATCGGACGAAAGTACATACAAAAAGGTCAAAACAGACCCCACAACTAACACGCTTAAAGCAACTAGCGATTTAATAAAGAAACACTCCGAAAAATTAAATCTCGACGTGAATTCGCTAATACCATCATGTACCAAACCACCGAGGTTGTATGGGTTACCAAAGATACACAAACCAAACGCTCCACTACGTCCGATAGTGAGCCAGATCGATTCACCAACTTATAAGCTGGCACAACACTTGGCAAAAGTACTGTCACCACTGAGAGGACATACCAGAGCACACACAAAGGATTCATACCATTTTGTTAGTGAGATAAAAGACCTACATCTCGCTAACAATGAAACTATGGTCAGTTTTGATGTTCAGTCACTATTTACATGCCTACCTATTGAAGACTGCATATCAATTGTAACTAGGAAGCTGGAATATAATAACATGCATCTATTGTGGAAGGAAGAGTTCTACAAGCAAGTAGATGGTGTGGCGATGGGCTCACCTGTATCTCCCATAGTCGCTGATATTCATGGAGGACTTCGAGGAGAAAGCCCTTCTTACTGCTCCTGTAAATCCAAGATTCTACAAGCGGTACGTAGACGACACTTTCACAATTTTACCATCTGACAAAGTAACTGCATTTTTAAACCACCTTAATTCTATAAACTCTAAAATACAATTCACAATGGAGTTAGAGGCAAATAATTCTTTAGCTTTCTTAGATGTTTTAGTCATTCGAAATCCTAATAACACAATTGGTCACACTGTGTATAGAAAAAAGACCCATACCAACCGATATTTAAATGGTGAATCTCACCATCATCCTTCACAGCTAGGGTAAATCTTTGTTTCAGAGAGCACGAGGGATCTGTGACAGAAAACATCTGGCCGCCGAACTTCAGCACGTCAAGCAAGTATTGCAAGACAACAAGCTTCGGGTCCCGCGCCTACGTCACAGTGACCGAGTAAAGCCGGCCACAGTCGAGCGTGTACCTGCTGTACTACCATATGTCAGAGGAGTCACAGGCAAGGTTGGCTACATCTTGAAGCGAGCTTCTATTAAAACATACTACAAGCCGCCGAAGAAGATTAGTCAATTTTTACCATCCGTCAAGTGTAATATCCCTCTACAAGATGCAGGAGTGTACAAGTTAGATTGTGAATGTGGTCTCTCTTACATAGGTCAAACAAAAAGATCCATAAAAACCCGCGTGAAAGAACATATAGCTGATGTGAAGCACCGACGCTCCGGGAAGTCTGCAGTCTGCGAACATGTTCAAGATCGTCCCCATCATTACATTCATTTTGATAAACCACAAATTCTCGCAAAAGAACACCGATTCCTACCAAGGATGATACGCGAGGCTATTGAAATTAAAAAACATCCAAATTTCAATAGAGAAGATGGATGGATGCTGCCACCTGCTTACGGGGTACTGCTTACTGGGTGCTGTCACCTAAGCATACCACTGCAAGACTTCATGATACTATAAGCTCGTTTCGCGTAAATCGGACCAAAAATTAATATTCAAAAACTGAAGGTAGCCGGACTAACTATGACATTGGGACGTCAAACATCTCAGTCCCCCCCATGTGACTTGTGAAATGTGACCATGGTTGCTGTAAAGCACCCGAAACGTCGGGAATTGAAAATAAGTAAAAGTAGTGAAATAAACGCGATAAAATCCGTAAATTTAGTTTTATTCAATGTGTAGTGTTTGCGTAAATTTAAGAAATCATTATGTAAACTAAGTTTGCATAAAAAGGGTTATTATAATATGAAGCAATTTATAGATGATAATAACCCCTGGAAAAGATAATTGCTACTTGTGTTGTTAATTGTAACATACATGATAGTAAGTTGTTTTTTTTTAAATAATCCTGCTGGGTTTCTTGCTGGTTCTTCCCAGGACAGAGGTTTTATTCCGAACCAGTGGTAAATTAAAAAAATTACTCAATAAGTATTATTTATAATCTATATTGGCTAAAAACTTTCTGTTACTGTTTCATAGTTATAAAATTTCATAATGTAGAGAAGACTAACATATTTTCAAGATGTATATATCTTACGTTTTGTTTTCAATATTAAAAACTTAACACTATTTTGCAGGATGTTGTTAGCCAGACCTTTTGTAAACAGTATGAAGCAATTGGTTCCTAGGACCAGGACAATGGCAGCTCAGGCTGGACCTTTAGTGGACTTATCTGTTGATAATGATGGTATAGCAATATTAACTATGAATCGACCACCTGTTAACAGCCTTAATCTAGAATTGTTACAAGAAATAGGCAAGTCTCTGGATGAAGTGGCAAAAAATAAGACAAAAGGCATGATCTTAACTTCAGTAAGTTTGAATAATTTTTAGTTGCAGTTTAAAGAGAGTAATGACTAATGACCTACAATTTATATTTTTTGTGCTAGATATATATTCATTGCAAATTTGTAATATATTTTCCTAAAATAACATCCTATAAATATTAGTGGTGCCTCTATTTGCAGAATTATGATAATTTGGCAGTAAGCATATCTTTTGTGACTTATTAAAATGAGTTCGGTGTAGTAACCGTCGGTGTAGTAACTACCTTAAATTATATATAGAGCTACAAAATAATGGAACACTTACACACACCTGTGTTAGGCCTCATATTTGAAAGCCTCTCTTTACATTCATGAGGGTTATGGTAAGAACAATAATAAGAATTTTGGTTCATTCATTCTAAAATTTTATATCTCTTGTTCTTAGTTTAATTCCTAGTTGCTATTTTTATTGTCTGTACCACACAAAAATAAATATTATTATTACAATTTTATTAACTACAATTATCATATTATTTTTAACTTTAGTCATCTTACTACAATTTTTTGCATTACTTAAATTCATTGAATAATCCATTAACATATTTTTAGTCATCACCAACAGTATTTTCTGCTGGATTGGACATAATGGAAATGTACAAACCAGACTTAAAGAGAGCAGAGATCTTCTGGACAACATTGCAAGATGTTTGGATAAAATTATTTGGGTCCAGCTATGTAACTGCAGCTGCTATTAATGTAAGATTTGCTTGCTTTTTGCTCTTAAACTACATCTAGGGTAGAGTGACATGAATTAGGCTATAAATTGTTTATCTTCCCTTGTATATGATGTGCTCTGAGTAGTTTAATCTCGTATAATGATTTTCACTATATTATTCTTCATCCTTATTCATTAGCTCATAAAAGTTTTAAACTGAAAATGGGTCTTGATTCTGCTTCCATTTGCCAGTCTGGATATTTTTTTGGTCTGGTGTAAATTAAATGCTTATAATACCACCTATCTGAAGCTATTACATTTTTCCGGCATTTTCAATAGTCACCTCTCGTTACACTCACAGGACAAAATGTCACAGTTAACACATAACTTATTTATTAATTAGGTAAATATAAAAATATGTTAGCGATGTTATAGTTTACTATGTAGTTCAAACTATACTTGTGTCTTTATTATAAAAACCTGGCTGGATTTGTAAGTTTCACCTTATGACAAAATTTATATAATAAATATAAGGGTGACAAACAAGCACACAGTCCACCTGGTGGTAAGTGCATGCCCATAGATATCCTTGGTTGAGAATTAAAATGCAAATGCTTTGCTGAGGACTACAGTGGAATTCCTTATTTTCAGTAAAAAGAGTTTCAGGTTTTCTTCACTCATCATGGGAAACTCAGCAGCATCGAGCTGCTATTTTACGCTGGTATTCTGTGAAAGCACGGTCCTCCCCTGGTCGAGGTTCGTGCTACAACCACAATATAGCTGCAATATGGCTGTACCTTATAACAAGTATTATAAGAGGACACACACATTTGAGCAAATAATTTACTTTATTTTTATTACTTTTATCTTTTCAGGGCCATGCACCAGCTGGTGGTTGCCTTTTATCAATGTCCTGTGAATATAGAGTTATGGTGGGAGGTAAATACACTATTGGTCTTAATGAGACAGCTCTTGGCATAGTAGCACCCACTTGGTTCATGGATACAATGTGCCACACTATACCCACTAGACAGGCTGAATATGCTTTAACCACTGCCCGGATGTTCACAGTAGATGAAGCTCTAAAGGTAGATGGATAATTAAATAATAAAAGTAGGAAAGCAGTCGAAGTATTACATAAATATATTTTTTTTAAACTAAGATTGTGTGTAGCGGCGACATTCATTAATTAATTATTGATTACAGCCCATAAATAATCCACTGCTGACCGTAACGTAGACAGAGTGCAAAAAGTTAGTAAGTGAAGCCAGGAAGAGGAATATCAAAATGAATATCTAGTATTCTTTATAGATTGGCTAATAAATTATTTATTAGACAATACAACATACTTACAAAATTTTGTTGCAGCGATTATATTACGTACACTTCAAATCATGCTAGTGCACACTGCGCTACTTTTGTTTTGCTATTTTGGTATTCCTTTTTTTGGCTTTACTTCATTGTTCTACTCACTCATCTTGTTGGTCTTAGTGCTGAACATAGATCTCTCCTGAACACTGCCTCATGGGAGGTTATATTTATTTGCCATGGTTGTTATGCTTGGCAGATGGGTTGGCAACTGCAGATTTTTTAAATTATTTTAAGTTGTAATCAAGAAAATGCTTCTGCCCATCTACTGTTTCATGCCATCCATTTCTTGTGTACTAAGTGTATTACAACCTTTTCCTAATCTGTTAACATCCACTATATCCTTTCCGTATCTCCCGTTCCATTCCCCGCCCTCTAATGACGGCAGTGTATCAGAAATCAAAAAATAATTCAGGTTATAATCTTATAATATAATAATAATCTATACCCATATTTATTGGCTAAACAATTGGTCTAAATGGCTTGCTGCTCTTTGGGTCTGCCTTGAATTATAAGCCTGATGTATATGTATGTAGTATGTAAATGAAAAATCGACTCAGTGTATATTATGTTTGCATTAAATATTCAATATTACCATTTGGTGTAAATTATTAACGACATTAATATTTCTCCAAAAGCTGGTATCACATACTTCTCTAGGACACCAAATTGCCTTGATTTTATCATACATACTTATCTATAATCCCAGTCACGAGAAGCTATAAATTTTGTAAATAAAGAACTTCTACTAAGTTATGTAGCGACAATTCAATCAACAAATAATCCAAAATTCAATCATCTTAAAGTAACAATACAACACAATTCAGAGCAATTTCACTTGGTCGAGTTATATTTTAGCGATATAAAGGCTTTCGTCTATTGGTTTGTGGTACTGGAACGCGTCTGACGCATGAAAGGTAAACATTTGGACCTCTATTAATTATATTTATGTCATGTCATATTTATATCGTCTTAAAGCTTCCGCCTTATCATTGCGAGCTTAATCTTATTGAGCTTGTTTGGGCCAATGTTAAGGAAAGGGATATGTTGCTCCCAACAACACAAATTTCAAATGTGTGAAGGTGAAATCGCTGCTCCAACAAGCACTGCAACAGATCACTGTTGAAATGTGGAAGCATTGTGTAGAGCACGTCATCAAGCAAGAAAGTAACTTTTATGACAAACTTGATGAAAGGATAGATAGCACGGTATACAGTCTTATTGTCCATGTAACTGATTCTTAAACAGAATACTCATAATCGTCTGACGACAGGAATTATATGTATTGTGTTAACAAAATAAAATTTACCCAGTTCTAACCTTTAAAAATGCAATAGTAATGTTTTTTGATTAAATAAATACATTTTCTATTCTATTCTATTCTAATAGTCGGATGAATGCTAATTATATCTCTGTATAAAAATAAAATCATTACAAAATTGTTTTTTTTTTCTATTTGATCCAAAAGTTGTGAAACCCTGAATGTGTGTTTACAAAATTTATAGCTTCTCGTGACTGGCACTAGTAATAAAATTAAAACAATACCCATGAAAAAATTTTCTGTACGACACCTAAGAATTTTGCTACTCCAAACCTTTAAAACAGTCATATCCCTAATTTGTTCATTAGTTGCACATCACAAGTTGCTGCAGTGCGATTCTGTAACACTGATGGGAATCAATTGCCAGTGAAAATCACTGCAATGTCGGCTGAGATATGTGTGCAATTCACCTCTCAATTCTTTCAAAGTTAAACGAAGTCTTGCGGCAGCTAACCTGACTTCAAAAGCACCAGTTACATTAACAAAAAATTGACAGCAGGTCATTGTCAAGTGTGAAAGTTTGTTCTCTGATGAAACCTGTATTTTGTTGCAATAGAATTATACTTACATTATTATTATTACAATGGAAAAACTCTGGCACACAAGTGACCTGAAAAGTGCTATTCCCATTGTTGCATTTCCGAAACAGTGACTGAATGCCCAAAGGCAGGAATTGAGACGGAGGCGAAAATCTGTATTTTGAGACCTTTGAGCCGATTTCGCTCAAGAATGTAGTTGCCACTTTAATTATTTTCAATGGGAACACTAAAAAACTATACTGGACACGCAGATTGGTGTTCACAACGATCGTTTTTTCAATATTGAACCTGGAACATTTGAGATCTTTGTTGCACCATTTCTCTTAGTGCCTTTTAGCCTTTTTAGAAAAGTATAATAATACATTGTTTGTGTCTACATTCATATGAATTTGTTTACAGGTTGGTCTAATTGATGAATCTGCCAGTGATAAAGCAGATGCCATTGATAAATGTAAAAAGTTTATTAGGAAATTCGATAAAATCCCTTCATTAGCCCGCGCAGTAACCAAACAAAAAATAAGAGAGGGACCTTTGGTGCGATTGCAGAATAATCGCCAACAAGACACCGCAGAGTTTCTTGGATTCCTCAAGAACCCTAAAATCCAACAAAGTCTAGAAATGTATATACAGTCCTTAAAGCAAAAAGCTGCCAAATAATATGTATGATGTATGATGTAGTATGACGTAGTAATGTAGCGTGTGTGTACTTTTATTACCAAGTTATAAATTTTATATCTTGTGTATATTAATATTTTTATACATTTAAATAAGTATAATTTTATTCTAAGCGATGTTATAAATAAATTTTTCTATTTTTACATATTATTTTCTTTTATTAATTTAACTTTTGATTTAACATCAGCTTTTAGAACTAAGAAGCCGCGGGACTTGATTTCCAATCCGTTGTCACAGATTAACTAATAGCACAGTTTAAAGAGAGTATAATGTCTATCATCATCATTACAGTCCTTCACAAGTCCACTGCTGAACATAGCCCTACCCCAAAAAATGGCACAAAGGACGGTCCTAAGCCATCTGCATCCGTCGACTTCCTGCATGTCTTACCAGGTCGTCACTCCATCTAGTGTGGGGCCGCCCCACACTTCGCCTACTAACGAGAAGTACGAGGTTGTCACTTGAGAACCTTGCTTCCCAACGGTTGCCGGTCTTGGCTACATGGCCTGCCCATTGCCATTTCAGCTTATCCGTTGGGCTATGTCGGTTAAACTGGTTCTACTGCAGATATCCTCATTTCTAAGTTTATCACGCAGAGAAACAACGAGCCATAGCTCGCTTTTGGAAGTTTGTTTTTTATCTGGGTTCCCTTAAATGTTATTTTTACTTTAGTGATGATTTTTTAATTTATTAATTGGAATGGACAGCTTTGTCCATTCCAATTAAAGGACAAAGCTGTGACCATAGATTACTGTACACTTATATACTAGAGAGCTGTCACGAAAAACTAATATTACACGCCCGATTCTGTTTCTGACAACGCATCTGATTTTTTCTTTTGTTTTTTCTGCCTAGCCGACTTCAAAAAAAAGGAGGTTTCAATTTCACTGGTTTTGTAAGTACAAAAATATATTTTAAAACTATTACATATTATAACATAAACGTGCAATAAATACAAATAGCGTTAATAGATAATAGTAGAATAATTACATGATGATAATAGAAATAAATTAAATAGAATCAAAAATGAAAAGAGTAATCATGTACTTACATGTCGTTTAAAAATCGGGGAGATTGAGTTTTTACTGAATAACGGCAAGTCATTCCATAATCGGACATAGGGTTGCCAGGTTTTAAAACCGAAAAGCCGGACAGACCAGGGGACTTAGCCGGACACCTTTATTTTTTTATCTTATTAAAACGACATTTTTTAGAGTCAAACAATGCTTTTTATCATTTGCCATAAAATCTTAAGTTCTAACGAAATAACTACAATAAAATAAATCAGTCTTCTTTATTATAAATCGTTCAATATTAATTACAATACTAATTTCAATAATTGCATAAGTATGTATGTAAGTACATGAAAAATATAAAGAAATGGTCAAATTTAAAAAGCCTAACAAAAGCCGGACGCCATCTAATTTGGCCGGACACGCAACCAAAAAACCTGACTGTGTCCGGCTTTATCCGGACGTCTGGCAACGCTAATCGGACAGTTTGTACCGTAAATGATCTGTTCAAAAATTTGGTAGTGTGAGTAAACATTTTTAATATCAAATTTTCTGATGATCTCAAATGTGAGTCATTTTAGGTAAGAAGGGTAGAAAGGATTAAAAAGAATGTAAAGAAGTGAGAGAATTTGAGCATTCCGGCAAAGGCGGATTGGCAATCACTTGAGCCTGTTACGAAAATCCGACACATGATCATATTTTCGCAAACCAATATGAATCATGTTTGCAACTTGATTCATTTCAGTGAGATCAAGATAGCTAACATCTGCATAATCGAGGATTGGAAACAGAAGAGCTTTTTTTGTGTTGTTCTATCCTCAATTAAGAATAAAATGGCAGGTGAGTTATCATTCCTGAGGACTAAAATAGAATGCATCGTTTCCAGTAAAAAAGGATCTCCAGTTCTCTACAGTCACCTTACGAAACATAGTAGCCTTAAGCTGCCATTTTACTCTGGTATTATGTAAGTCCTGCTCTTGCCCCGGTCCGCCGACCCATTCGCGTTACAACTGATATAGCTACAGCGTGGCCCCACCAATTATAGTGTTGTGAAATTATTTTATTCTTCTTAGTTCTTTGAAATCGGCTTTTATTTTTTATTGCCTAAATGTTTTTTTTTTTTCAATTTTTATATCATCTGCACAAAAAAAAAATGATCACCGCGCATTTGTTCGAAATCCAACATAATGAAATTCTGATTGATAAAGTAGTGGTTTTCGTCTACTTTACTGTATTTTTTATATACTGAAGTGCCAAGCTAAGCTAAGGGTCCACCTAATGGTGACCTGGACAAGTGCAGCCAACTTTAAACGAACCATGCTTCACAGCCTTTAGTTATATTGGCTCTCTATACCTACGCTTTGGACTGAAGGACAGCAGTGCTTGCAATGATTTTCAAGCGACAGTAGCCTAATGGCAGGGCGTGGACTGCGAACTCAAAAAGGTCGTGGGTTCGAATCCGCCATTCGACTACTGGCGTGAACCACTCGTAACACAAGCAATTTAAGCTTACCACGAGTGGTTAAGGGGAATATTAGTAATGTTTATAGCATTGTTAATATTCTTTTAAGATAAAAAAAAGAAAATATGCTTAGAACTAGCCCGATATCTATTCTACAAAAAAAAACATCTACCAAGATGGACTCCCAGGTAGGAAAATAGTTCTTCCGCCTAGAAAATTTCAAGTAAGTATTGTTTATTTGTTATCCAATATGTTATTACTTGTTATAGAGGTCGTTTGGTACGCTTAATCTTGTTTTTAATAAAAATCAGAAATTAATAAAAATCGTGTGTAATATTTTATTTATATCAATGAATAAAATGAACAGCTTAATGCCGGTCAGTCACATAATATGTGCAAAGATTTGTGCATATGAATGAATTTAGAAATGAATACAACGCTGTTTGTATTTTGATTGCGAACTTTTATGCGCATAATTGGATTCTTTCATTTAATTATCTACCGGACATCATTGTTATTGACTGTTATTAAATTTGTATGAAATTTCTATTAACGATTTCTCAGGGCGATTTCACCACAGAAATGCCCAATAAATTTAAATACGTGGGGTGTTTGGCTTTTATTATAATATTATTTACTATGCGAATGTACAAGAATTGAATAAAATAATTCACAGACACACATCAAAGCAGCTCAGCCTATTGCAATTATTGTCAAAGTTTTATTTATATCAATTATTCAAAAAGTCAACGATTCATAATTTCCAACACTTGTAGATTTGTACATTGGCCGTGCTTTGTGAGTGACCGGTATAATTATTTATTTGGTCAAATAGAATTTCACTTGTAGCGTTTTTCTTTTAACTATAATCTTCAGAAAATAACGCAGCTGCCTCTGGGTCGACGGCTTCCGTCAAACTCATTTGCATATCCATCCATGCTTCCCTCTGATTGTCCATAAAATAATTTATTTCTAATATCCTGTCTCTGTTTCGCTTTATTTCGTTACTGTAATAATACATTTAGGGTTCAAAATCATTTTGGATTCACGTTAAAAAAACCTTAATTACAATTATCTTTATCGCAAGCTTCGATCAACAATACCAACTAGATGGCAGGTCGGCGCAAGAAATCCATCTCAGTAAATAAGAGCGCACATGAGACGTGAGCTCTTGCACGTGAGAGTGTAGCTCGCAAGGCAATAACGGGAAAAAGAACTTTATTTATTACAACTTAAGGTTGATTTCACACTAAATGTTATTTAATTTATGTCTTTTCATAGTTTATATTCATGCGGACAGTATTTAGCTATGATTTTGTACGTGACCCGTTATCTAGTTGGTATTGTTGATCGAAGATCGCAAGCCAACACAAATCTACAGCTGACCAACCTCAGCCATCGATATACTCATGAGGTACCCGCATCCATCGACTACTTGCATGCCTGTTTAGGTCGTCACTCCACAATACCTACCCTACGCTGTACTTACCAGTAGAGAAGGCTGATGGTATTTGACCCTTTTGATACTTTTGTACTTATTCTTCATCTAATGTGGATTCTGAGGGCTACAACATACGCCACGTTGCATTTTTTTTCCAATTATCCCCGCAACTGGACAACTAGTTGGAAGTTGAAACTACATCTACTTTTTATCTATGGTTGGAACGCTGTCAGGTTTTGTGATTATTTTCGCCAAAAATAACATAGGTAAACAACGCTTTATGAACAAAAATTAACAAGCTTATAGACAGCTGAAGCATAGTGGTGATGAAATAAAAATCGACAAAAAATAAAGTACGAACAATAAATATCCTTTATGCTGAAATTTGCATTTTACGCGTATTCGCATTATAAGTAGGTACACATTGCGTTACATACGTTCTATGTCTGTAAAATGTTATCTTTAGACTTACTCGTTAGTTCCACTGATGAGCTGGTCACGCCAGTTATTGGCGCGTGATATTAGCAGATCTTCGCGCGCGTCGATGAAACGTATGTGATTGTCCGACGATTGAGCCACCACGTTCATCATCGTGTCGCGGTCCATCATAATCTGTTGGTTTTTTTTCAAGTTTTATTCCTCATCCTGTTCTGCCCGTAAAAAGCCCACTATTCGACATAAACCCTTAGTTAGCAGGGGCAGTGGGAGGGTAGATAAGTCGTAATCGCCGCGATTGGCATATGGATAGACGTTTGTAGTAGGTACCTAACCAGTGCCTGATTTAGATATCCGACAGCCCAAAGCTAAGTATGTACTCCCCCCCCCCCAGCCGTCTGTTCTCTGTTCCTGCCCAGCCCATGTAGGTACTCGTGAAGTGTAACCATCAAGTGAAGTATAAGTTCGTTTTTCCCTTCGGTTTTATATAAAAAAAAACTATAGAAGAATTACCGATTTTATAGGTTTATAATACTTTTATTTAAAAGTCTCAATTTCTTAAAAAAAGGACGAATGCACAAAGATAAATATCATATTCTGGATAAGTATCGACACAATTACTCTCTATGTTTCCGTACATCGGTAAATAAAATCAATAGGTGAAGTGACCACAAACAGTGCCAGTGTCGAACATCACCCACGTAAAACTGCAACACCAGGAAAATTGCAAGTTCGTTGCCGACATTTTAAAAAGGAGTATCTAGTTTCTTAAAGATCTCTAAGTCGTATCCGTCCGGAAAAATCGCAGGTGGTAGATGATTCCACTAAGTAGTCTTGCGAGGAAGAAAACTCCTAGTAAATCAGACAGTCATGGTGGACCACCAAGCATAGTTAGGTGTGGATGGTACGTAAGTTTTGTCCCAATGTACGTTTTTAACAATATGTCTAAGTACTTCTCTTGGAAAATGCGAAAGAAAATAATTTTAGATGCAATATGTCTTCACAGCGCCAATGAATCGAGCCGCTCAGAAAGAACTCAGTCGTCGACGATTCGAGCAACTCTTCGCTGAATGCGGGTAAGTTGAATGAGAGCTGGAGCTGAAGAAGCGCTTAGTGCCAAAGCCCATCGAAGACCCTTCACTAAGTCCAAATTAACGACAAATGAGACTCTACCGCTTCCGCTTATCTATGAGTCAAGTAAATTAGAAGAATAGAACTAGGACCAGCTGATTAGTGACCGCCAATGCGGTGGTTCTCAAGATATTTAATGAGCTGGCAGTTTGTAATGGATTCCATTAATTTGAAAAACAAAGAGGCGATGGTGATTAGCCTGTTGTTGAACGGATTTGAGCGGTTGCCATAAGTCAGGATTATGGGAACCGGTGCTAACTCCGAAACACCCATCTTCAGCACAATAAGAGGAACTCCATCAGGCACACTGAACTTGTTGACGTCCAAGGAGAGAAGTGCTTTGCACACTGAGCACTGTGTAAACCGCAAATCAAACCGCAAAGCATTGTGTAAACTCGATTACGGGGGTGCAAAAGGTTTGTGCCCCCGTAATCGAGAATCGAGTTGGACTCAAAAAGAGAACCTAAAAGATCGACTTTCTTCTTTACGGCATGGGAAAGTGGGTCTTTTTCTCTGTCCAGAGATAGAACAGGTGGCTGACAGAAGTTCCCTTAGATAGCCTTAGCAAAATACCTTAATAAAATTATACCTTAATAAAATTGGAGGTAAAGAAGAGTGAATCACGTCCAGTCAGTCCACGAAAGACAAAAGGTACTGAACAATTCAAAGCCTTATTTTTACAATCTATTTGTTTTTACCAGAAATAAAGAAAGAGAACTAGTAAAATACTTGCGGCACTTACTCTATTATTAATTGAAGATATACCAAAATATATGTATGTAAGTGTTGCTTTAAAAGGCAAGCTCAGTGCCTCCCCGAACCTTGCGCCCTAGGCTTCAGCCTGCGTAGTCTGTGAGTAAATGAGGCCCTGACCATCAACCGTATTTTCGGTACATCTTTCTTTACGGCGGCGTATCACCCACCAATAGCGAGTTGCCAAGTACCATAGGCTAACGCTCTCTATCTTATTTCTACTTACACATACCTCTACCAAGTCTGGCGGTGCGTCGCCCAACAACAGCCTATTACCGAGCATGTTGGCGAGTGTGTCGGCTTGGCGCGTACTCCACACTAGTTCGCTCTCGCGCCACGCGCCGAACGCGCCACGCGACTCATCCAGCAGCTTGCTCACCATCTCCGTAAGATTCACCGCGAACTGCGTTCGGGACTCCTGGGCGCAATTACTTTAGGTTTACAATATTGTTTCACAGTAAAGCTCCGCTGCAACACGAATATGTTGGCGCTGTTTAAGTTGATATCAGGAAGATGCCCATGCCCATCTCCTGTTTCAGTTTCCCTGTGTCGCCTCCTATGACACCCACAGGACGATATGGAGTAGTGAATATTCTTACACCAGCCCACGACATCACACAGTTACCAGCACGGAATACTAGCGTAAAATTGCCGTGTGATGGCGGCGTAAGAGGTGACTACAAAAATGCTATCAAAATGTTATGGCCCCCGATAAATGGCGGTATCCATCTTGTTCACGCCTGACGTAAAATTACCAGATCGACAATCGTCAATCGTTCTAACGGAGAAGGCCCATCCTCCGTTGTAAGAAGACCATATCCAGGAGTGGACTTCTACGGGCTGTTAAGATGAAGACCAGCGTAAAAATGTAGCATAATGCAGTGCTCTTTTGTATGGTAAGTGACAAAAATGGGAGGCATTTTGGCCGCAAACTGACTTTACAAATAATATTGTAATTACAACAAGATTCAAAGAAATAAGTTTTCACACACTGATTGCAATCTTATAACAGACAACCAAAAGCACATAGGGGAGCACATGATACTAAATGGGGGTTTACTCGAGCGTCGTGGAGACTTATTAGATTTTGTAGATTAGTTAATAGGAAGAAAAAAAGTTACAGAATATTTTCCCTTCCAGTGGTGGGGGAAGCGTCTACAGTTTTTCAGTTTTAGTAAAAACTACTACAAACTTAGTTACGTTACGTTAGTGGGTAGTTACTACTACAAACCACAACAGATGTTCAAAAATTAATTTCAGCGCGTCAGATATTCAAAGGAAGGGGGGTTAAATGAATCCTATTCAAAAGACTGACGATTCGGACGTGACGCAAGCTCGTAGCGAATTTTTGAAATGCGATAAAAATCGTCATATTGAAATACTCGAGCGTGTCAGGATTATTTAAAGAGGTTCAGCTTGATGTCACAGTTATGGTAGCTTCAACGATTATTTTGAGTGATATTAATTATCTGACACGACCGGGAGAGAGATCAGGCGCAGGACCAACGGCTTTACGTGCTTTCCGAGGTACGGGGGTGAGACACCCCCAACTTCCTGACTCCGGGCAGCTACTGTGAATTTCTTGACAGAAAAACTCAATAATTAATTTTTGGCCCGACCCGGGATTCGAACCCAGGAGACCTCATGATCAGCAGTCACACTACTACAACCACTAGACCAACGAGGCAGTCACAATCATAAGTATATTCTATGGTCGATACATAGGATCAGCGGGGAACGTAAACAGAGGTGTCCTCCCTCTACGACGGGAAAGCCATTGAATAGAGCAAAGCACACCTAAATATTTTTAAAATGTTATTATTTATTTACTACAGCTACATTGTTTCTTAGCAGAATAAGTGCGGTATTCTTGTTCTTTAAAAAAGGCGACAACGCTCTCTTGAAGAACTACAGACCGATTTCCCTTCTGAGCCGCGTTTACGTGCTGTTTTCGAGAGTCATTACGAATCGTCTCGCACGCAGACTCGACGACTTCCAACCTCCCGAACAAGCCGGTTCCCGAAAAGGCTTCAGTACCATAGACCACATACATACCCTGCGGCAGATTGTACAGAAGACCGAAGAGTACAATCTGCCACTTTGCCTGGCGTATGTGGACTATGAGAAGAAAGCCTTTGATTCCGTCGAAATTTGGGCGGTGCTACAGTCCCTTCAGAGGTGCCAAGTTGACTGTCGGTATATCGAAGTGCTGAAGTGTTTGTATAGTAGGGCTACGATGGCTATCCGAGTACAGAACCAGAGTTCGAAACCTATCCAGCTGCAGAGAGGTGTAAGACAGGGTGACGTTATATCCCCGAATCTCTTCACCGCTGCATTGGAAGACGTTTTCAAGCTACTGGACTGGAAAGGATACGGTATTAACATCAATGGCGAGTACATCATTCCCCTTCGATTTGCCGACGATATAGTCCTTATGGTAGAATCGCTGGAGGACCTAAGCACTATGCTTAATGACCTCAATGGTGTCTTCCAACGGATAGGTCTTAAGATGAACATGGCCAAAACAAAGATCATGTTTAATGTCCATATCACACCTATGCCCGTAGTTGTTGGAAGCACTATGCTCGATGTTGTTGACGAGTACGTTTACCTGGGACAAATAGTCCGACTAGGTAAGTCCAACTTCGACCGAGTGGTCAATCGAAGGATTCAACTCGGCTCGGCAGTGTTCGGGAAATTACGACACATCTTCTCGTCAGGTATACCTCAAACTCTGAAAACTAGATTGTACAACCAGTGCGTGTTGTCAGTGATGACTTACGGAACCGAGACGTGGTCCTTCACTGCTGGCCGTATTAGGACGCTCAAGGTCGCTCAGCGAGCTATGGAGAGGGCTATGCTCGGAGTTTCTCTGCGTGATAGACTCAGAAATAAGGATATCCGCAGTAGAACCATAGTGACCGACATAGCCCGACGTATTAGTAAGCTGAAGTGGCAATGGGCCGGCCACATAGATTTAAAAACCGACAACCCTTGGGGAAAAAAGGTTCTCGAGTGGCAGCCTCGTACCTGTAGGCGAAGTGTAGGGAGACCCCCCACTAGATGGAGTGACGACCTGATAAGACATGCAGGAAGTCGATGGATGTAGGTGGCTTAGGACCGTAATTTGTGGCATACCTTGGGTGAGGCCTATGTTCAGCAGTGGACTTGTGAAGGGCTGTAATGATGATGATGATGATAATGACATTGTTTCTTTATTTATTAAGCAATTTGTTTTCAAAAACTACATAAAAACGCGCGCATTGAAATGCAACATTGTCAAAATTTCAATGCAATCGCTGAAGAAATTTCAAAGATTTAATATTTTGAACAAATAACTAGATAGACCGCCTCTGGATAGAGTGACTATCTGGTAAGATACTTAGGAAGTCGATAAAAGTAGGTGGCTCATGACCGTAGTTTGTCGAATCCTTGGGGGAGGCCTATGTTTAGCAGTGGACTTGAGAAATGTGAAGGGCTGTAATGATGATAATGATGATGATGATGACGAATGACAAACGAACTTTTACATTCTTATCTATACAGAAGAAAAACCACATCATACCTCGCATTGCTCGAACAGCTGCATTTCTATTGTCATAAGGTTCTTCCAAAGTTCAAACAACGTGTCATTGAAGGTCTCTCCGAGGTCTACGATACTTGGCTCCAGTTGCTCCAGAGTTGCTTGTTTTGCTGCGAACTTCACAATTATCTCGTTCATCTGCTCTACAAGTCGTGCTTTCTTATCTTCAAACTTCTTTACTACCCTTTAATTGTAATTTTTAAAATCGATTAAATTTATTCAGCATTTATTCATTGTATTGTTACAAGTATCCATTCTCAAATCCATTTAACATTTTATTTATTCTTAGAATATTGACGATCTGTAGATTAGCTTTTAGAGCGACTGACTAGGTAAAATAAAATAGTGTTCCGTGAATTAGCTATTATAAGTGTAGGAGTAATAGTGTTCTGTGTATTGACTACTAAGGCGAATCAAACCTACATTTTAAGTTTTTATTGTGATGATTAAAACTACTTTTACGGATTTTATCGCGTTTATTTTTACTTTTAATTACTTTTATTTTTAATTCCCGACGTTTCGGGCGCTTTCCAGCACCCATGGTCACGGGGGACTGAGATGACTGAAGTCCCGATGTCATTGTTAAACCCAGAGTACCTTCAGCTTTTTTAATTATTGTTTATGGTCCGATCTATGCAAAATGAACTGACTATGTCCTGAGGTCTTGCAGTGGTATGCTTGGGTTTAGTTTTAATTTTATTGATTATAGGATCCCAAGCAGGTGGTACTACCCAGCCTCCTTCTCTATTGAAATTAGGATGTTTTTTTAATTTCAATAGCCTCACGTATCATCCTTGGTAGGAATCGGTGTTCTTTCGCGAGGATTTGTGGTCTATCAAATCTGATGTAATGGTTGGGGCCGTTTAGGATATGATCACAAACTGCAGACTTCCCGGAACGTTGATGCTTCACATCAGTTATATGTTCTTTTACGCGGATCCTAATTGATCTTTTTGTTTGTCCTATATAAGAGAGACCACATTCACAATCGAGCTTGTACACTCCTGCATCTTGTAGAGGAATATAACACTTGACGGATGGTAGGAACTGACTAATCTTCTTCGGCGGCTTGTAGAATGTTCTAATAGAAGCTCGCTTCAAGATATAGCCAATCTTGTCTGTGACACCTCTGACATATGGTAGTACAGCAGGTACACGCTCGACTGTGGCCGGCTTCACTCGGTCACTGTGAAGTAGGCGCGGGACCCGAAGCTTGTTGTCGTGCAGACTGCAGAACTTGCTTGACGTGCTGAAGCTCGGCGGCCAGGTGTTTGCTGTCACGATCCCTCGTGCTCTCTGTAACAAAGATTTGCCCACGGTAGCTAACTGTGAAGGATGGTGGTGAGATTCACCGTTTAAATATCGGTTTGTATGGGTCTTTTTCCTATACACAGTGTGACCAATGGTGTTATTAGGATTTCGGATGACTAACACATCTAGGAAAGGTAAGGAATTATTTGCCTCTAACTCCATAGTAAATTGAATTTTAGAGTTTATGGAATTAAGATGTTCTAAAAATGCAGTTACTTTGTCTGATGGTAAAATTGTGAAAGTATCGTCTACGTTCCCCTTGTAGATCCTTGGTGTAACAGGTGCAGTAAGGAGGGCTTTCTCCTCAAAGTCTTCCATGAATATATCGGCGACAATGGGAGATATAGGTGAGCCCATCGCAACACCATCTACTTGCTAGTAAAACTCTTCCTTCCACAATAGATACCCAGATGTAAGGCAATGTCTTAGTAATACTGCATATTCTGCTGGCATGTTATTTTCCTCTAGTTTCCTAGTTATAATTGAGATGCAGTCTTCAACAGGTAGGCATGTAAATAGGGACTGAACATCAAAACTGACCATGGTTTCATTGTCAGGTGTAGGTCTTTTATCTCACTGACAAAATGGTGTGAATCCTTAGTGTGTGCTCTTGTGTGTCCTCTGAGTGGTGATAATATTTTAGCTAAGTATTGAGCCAATCTGTAAGTTGGCGAATCAATCTGACTCACTATTGGACGTAATGGAGCATTCGGTTTGTGTATCTTTGGTAACCCATACAACTTCGGTGGTTTGGCACATGAAGGTATTATCGAATTAACGTCCAGATTCAATTTTTCGGAGTATTTCTTAATTAGATCGCTAGTTGTTTTAAGCGTATTAGTTGTAGGGTCTGTTTTGACCTTTCGATAGAAGTAGATGGTGTTGCGATGGGCTCACCTGTATCTCCAATTGTCACTGATATATTCATGGAAGACTTTGAGGAGAAAGCCCTCCTTACTGCACCTGTTACACCAAGGATCTACAAGCGGAACGTAGACGATACTTTCACAATTTTACCATCAGACAAAGTAACTGCATTTTTAGAACATCTTAATTCCATAAACTCTAAAATTCAATTTACTATGGAGTTAGAGGCAAATAATTCCTTACCTTTCCTAGATGTGTTAGTCATCCGAAATCCTAATAACACCATTGGTCACACTGTGTATAGGAAAAAGACCCATACAAACCGATATTTAAACGGTGAATCTCACCACCATCCTTCACAGTTAGCTACCGTGGGCAAATCTTTGTTACAGAGAGCACGAGGGATCTGTGACAGCAAACACCTGGCCGCCGAGCTTCAGCACGTCAAGCAAGTTCTGCAGTCTGCACGACAACAAGCTTCGGGTCCCGCGCCTACTTCACAGTGACCGAGTGAAGCCGGCCACAGTCGAGCGTGTACCTGCTGTACTACCATATGTCAGAGGTGTCACAGACAAGATTGGCTATATCTTGAAGCGAGCTTCTATTAGAACATTCTACAAGCCGCCGAAGAAGATTAGTCAGTTCCTACCATCCGTCAAGTGTCATATTCCTCTACAAGATGCAGGAGTGTACAAGCTTGATAGTAAATGTGGTCTCTCTTATATAGGACAAACAAAAAGATCAATTAGGACCCGCGTAAAAGAACATATAGCTGATATGAAGCATCAACGTTCCGGGAAGTCTGCAGGTTGTGATCATATCCTAGACGGCCCCAACCATTACATCAGATTTGATAGACCACAAATCCTCGCGAAAGAACACTGATTCCTACCAAGGATGATACGTGAGGCTATTGAAATTAAAAAACATCCTAATTTCAATAGAGAAGGAGGCTGGGTACTACCACCTGCTTGGGATCCTATAATCAATAAAATTAAAACTAAACCCAAGCATACCACTGCAAGACCTCAGGACATAGTCAGTTCATTTTGCATAGATCGGACCATAAACAATAATTAAAAAAGCTGAAGGTACTCCGGGTTTAACAATGACATCGGGACGTCAGTCATCTCAGTCCTCCGTGACCATGGGTGCTGAAAAGCGCCCGAAACGTCGGGATTTAAAAATAAAAGTAATTAAAAGTAAAAATAAACGCGATAAAATCCGTAAAAGTAGTTTTAATCATGTGTAGTGTTCGCGTAAATATAAGAAATCATTTTTATTGTGATATTTCCCGCTGCACCATCTAAGCAAACCCCAAGCATCATCTAATTGCATTATTTTTTATTTTAAGAGACGGGCGCAATCCTAGGCCTAAAATGTTTATAACCTAGAAAACTGTAGTTCACATTTAGCTTAGCTACGAATACGTGTTAGTCTGAATTTCTCGTATTCCTCTGATCTAAACCCAGCAGTGTGTACACTTACCTTGACGACAGTGATAACAGTTGAAACCTAGCTTTATTCGTGGGTATATCTTCACGGATACTTTCTGCTGGAATTACACTACTAGGCATTTAGGGCCTCTGTCCGCAACCCCAGAGATTATCTCTCTGCCTTTCTTTTATTGAAACAAAATAGTCCCTTTTATGAAGTATGTATAGACTTAACGTATTATTTTTGAACGTATATAATATGTTAATGTACGAAATTGTTCATCCCTGGAAATCACAAACCTCTACTGTTAGTTCAGTACGCCGTTACCTAGTTCTTCAGTAATATAAATAACTTACTCTTTACTTTTATTCACGCTGTCTGCCAATGCGTTATCCACAAGATCTTTAAATAATTTAATTTCGTACTGCCTCTCATTATAAGCCTGTTGAGCGAACTCTACTAGTCCAGCCATCGTGTCCACATATTGCTCCTTGTATCTAAAACACAATATATTTAAACAGCTTTTCTGTCTTGAAATTTCATACCTAGTTAATATTTTTAATTATTGAACCCTTGCATTGGCATGTATGTAATAGAATTAGATATATATAAATACAAAGGGTTCAAAATGCCTGCGCACGTTTTTGCTTCACAGTCCCTAAGAGATCACACATCACCCCATTTTTAAATCGACACGACCTGATGAGTATGGCTGCTCGGCGTACCCCCCACCTTGCGTCATTGCTTTTTGGAGCTATAAATACCAGGGAACCATCATACTTATACCAAAAACTTATTTTCTCGCAGCGTGCGGTTAGGACATCATCACTACAGACTCACATACCCTAAGCATCACACAGCTGCCTTCCGTGGTAGTTTCCGTTTTGCCGCCACGAAGTGCTGGAATGATATACCACCACCGATCAGAAATAGTACCTAAAACAGTTGCCACATTTTAAAACTTTATTAAAAAAGTTTCTGATTTCCGTATAAAAATCCAGCAAATAGGCATATATGGTATGATTCAATCTCAATGCTAGTACCGTACATGCACATACGAACGCACTCGCACACGCATGCACACATACACATACACATTTTTTTTCTGTATGCATACCACCGTTTGTTCATCTCTACACTATCAATGTTGCACTGTTTTTTTTTTCTCATTTTATTTTATATTTATGTTTAGTTCATTTTTTCTCTTGCTGTTACTTGTAATCTGCCTCACACTCCTGCCTCCACTGAAAATCAGCGTTACGAATTGATGTATTTGGGCGTTTTTCAAAAAAATTGTCGGTGACGTAGTTAGAATTCCACTTATATGAGTTTTAACATTTAGCTTCAAAATGTAATTAAATTGATAAAATATAGTATGAGCAGTATGAAAATAGTATTTTTTTAAGAAAATAATAATGAATTTTGAAAATAATTACAATTTTAATTAAATTATGTTCTCAAGAAATTCCATTACGTTACTAATTTTAAAATAGTTTTCATGAAAACTAAAAGAAGTTCAGTATTTTTTAACTTTATTTATGAAAAATAAACACAATCTGTTTTCTAAAAAAATATTGATAATTCAGCATATTAGATCTAATCAAAAAATGTTTTAACAAAGATATTCCTTACGCTACTTTTGGGTACTTTGTACTATATTTTTTTCATCCTAGAACGTCAAATATGAGAAATATTCTTTCAAAAGTTTAATTATATCAAATTAAAAATTTATAGTAAGCTATATTGAACAAAAACAGTCAAATTTCTTTGAGATCTATTAATTAGTCTTAGAAAATAAATCACAGTAATAATAGGACAGTGACGTTAATGTAATTCGAAAATAACGTTTAGGAACTATAAGGCAACGTCTATATGACTCTCAATTATGACAACAATTATGGTAACTTGTACTTATCGTATTAAACATAATATTACTAGTATGTCATTTAAGAGCGTTTAAAACGTACGGCATTTCATACAAACTTTCAAGTCCTTGTTTTCGAAATGCATGTACCGATTTTAATGAAACTTCACACGCATAAGCAGGACACATAGTTCTAAAAAGTTAGTAAAGAACATTTTTGAAATGTCTTATTTAAAACAAGATAATTGGAAATATCTGTTTCTATGGAAAATTTAAAATCAGCTGAATCTAGCTGTAACATTATTTTTCGAAATAGTTCTCATTAACTTTTTGGACCTATATATCCTGCTTATGCATAGGAAGTTTCATTAAAATCGGTTCATTTATTTCGAAATATAAAGACTTGAAAGTTTGTATGAAATGCCGTACGTTGTAAACGGTCTTAAACTGTAACAAAAAACTATTCATCAGTCCCAAGACAAATCGAACAAAGGTTGAAAAGGTTGTTCCGCTACATATCAGGCAAACCCAATTTTTACATGCATTACATTTTACCATTCTTTGTATAACAAAAGGCTCATGGCAATTGTTATCTGAAACAGATACGAATGATTGGGATAGATTTTTCCAAAAAAATTACATCACAATGTAAAGTGATCGTGTTTTTGGAGGCACCAAAGTGCATTGATTGGACTTCTTCACTATATTTACATTCAAAATTCTCTGAAAAGTCGCATAAAATGAGTATCTCGTCATCTTACATGTTCTTGATACAATTTCTGTATTGACGTTGTTGTTCAATCCAAAAAGAAATGAGTTTTAAACGCCGGTAGCTCGTTCTGAAAGTTGGTGATGAAAGTACAGTTCCTTTTACTTGTTGTTTGGTGGTCTTTTTAGTTGTATATACTTTGCCAGATATTTCATATTCATGGTTTACCCTAGCCCATTTGAACCATGATATAGCAGAATCGAGGTTTTGTTCATCATATGAAATACTCTTACAATCTTTACATTTATTGTACATGCAGTCATAACGCGTAATATCACATGCAACGATGTTCAAGAGCTCCTTTATATTCTTGTAAGTTATGACATCTTTACACTTCAATGCATTAAACATGTACTCAAAGTTACTGTGCTTAATACATAAGCAGGTTTCTCTATTATTGATACTTGGAGACAGTACATAATAAGGCTTGTATCTGTAAAAGGTGGTGAAGCCGCATGACCCACCGTCTTTTTTTATAAATTTCGTATACGTTTTTCAGTGTGTCGACTAAGTATCTTATTTGTGCTTTTTGTTTGTCTTTGGACCTGGTTTCCTTCTTACCAGCTGTGCTTTTACTTATGTAGTCTCTCAAATAAAAAAGTTCTATTTCTTCCTGAGTCTTCTTATTTATTGGTCGTTGTAAATTAATCCTTTTCCTGATTCTTTCTTTAAGACCTAAAATCTTACTTTCAGGTGCTTTTTACAATATATGCGCCTGTTTCCTAATCACGTTTTTAACTAATTGTTTTTCTTTATTTTTCTTACAATTCCTGTACGTACTACGAATTGATATTTCCATTATTTCTTGTCTTGCTTTCAATTTATCGTTTTCTGTGTTCAATAAATCAAATTCGGTTTCATGTTTTTTTTTCATTCGGCGTAATTTCTTTCTCAGAGTCTGTGTTGTTGTATTATATTGACGAATCGTCTTGAAAGCCTTTTTGTAGTTATTTAACAATTTTCAGTACCTAATTTTCAATGAATGTGGAGCTGAATTATTGGATGCGTCACGTGATTGCCCTGATTGTGGATTCGGTTGAGTGTTTTTGTTTTCGTTTTTGTTCTCTCCAGAGTTTTCTTTTTTCCATTTTCTCGTCCTCAGTGAGCTTTTTAATCCTCTTTTGGTGCTTTTTTTGTCTTCGTAATTCCTTCTTCTTAAATTCTTCATATTTTTCCGGGTTTTGTTTGATTTTTTCTCGGTACCGTTTTGACTTTTCTGCAGCCGTCAAGGGCATATTTAAACCTAAAATCAATAGTGAGTTATCATAATGTACCCCGTACGAAAAATCTCAAATTTTTGTGAAAAAAATTTATATAGATTTACAAAAAGCGTTGCGTGAAATATTTGTCAAAATAAATGTGATAACTGTTTATCAAATATATTTTCACGCAAAAACAAAAAAATTTTCATTCAGGATACCATTAAAATTAAACACTAAATGCAGCCATTTCAACAATATAACGTAATAACTATCGTTATTTCACTGTTATTTTTCTAATGTTATCCTGAATGGAGTGTTTTGAGCTGAAATATCTAGTCGAAAAATCTTGTTTGATTTACACACGAAATTAAGTAATAAGCAATTCATTTAAAAAATTCAAGGCATTTTATTATTATTTTAATCATACTTAATTTATTTAGACTTTAGAACACTAATTAAAACAATGACTTTATGAACCGACCTTTAGGATTCCATTACGTCACTTTTGAGTTCCATTCATGCGATAGTAGCGCTAATGGAGGTAACGTAACCATGCCAATAAAATTTTCAAATGAATTTACTAATTAGTTATCAAACTTTTGTTCAATATAACTTAACATTTCAAATAACAATAAATTAACATGTTTAATAGAAAATAGAATGAAATACACATGAATACGTTACCTGGAGAAAAGCAGTATCGTTTGTGGAATTATTTTTTTTACATGAGTCGAGACGACCACTTCGATTACGTTTTGTTGGCGAACTGGCTGTCAAAAATTAAATACAGCAGCCACCATAGACTAATAATGTTGCTATATTTGGGAAAATGTATTGAATTGGTGGTATTTTTTGTTGGAAGTCGTTGAAAATGCGGTCACGTACGCGGAAATTCCATCATACGCGATTTTGCAGGACAACACAAAATCTGGTATTTTAAAATAATTTTCAACCGTAACATGTACATTTCAGGTTTAAAATTGAAGTTACGTTCATAAATGACCAGTCAAATGCAAAAAGTTTGAATAATAATATAACACGACCGTATTATGTGACTCTGAAGTTGACACAGTAGATGTGGGACATACCAAAAACATCGACCCCATTTTACTTATTTTGATTTTATTTTTGATTTATAACAGATTCAGACCTTATTTTTATTTGATTTATGAGACTATATGTTACTTTATTATTAAAATAAATGATATGTAATAAAAACTTTTATAATATTTGATAATTTATTCTGAAAGTGGCCGGACACTGACTTTTTTCAAGGTACAACTTTTTTGGAAAACGCCCATTTATATCTTCAATTCGTGACTTAAAGCTGAGTGGAGAACATTTTGGTGCATATTGTGTTATTCCTTTTTTAATTATTTTTGATAAGATATAAAAAATGTTTTATTTTTATTCTTTTTGTTATAATGTATGTACCAAATAAACTTTTTCTTTCTTTCTTTCTTTCAGATATGACATACATAAACCCTCACGCCTGTCACCCAAAGGGATAGGCAGAGACTACGGACTTCCATTTTTGTTCCTTTACATCCATATAGCTACGCCACAGAAATCTAAATAATAAGGCATAATATTTAGATTTCTGTGTCCTACGCACACTTGCTCATCGGTTAAGGTTACCAATTTGGTTGATAAACTTTCGTCTACTCTAGGGCGTCCCATCCCGACTCTGTCTTTTACTTCTGCAACGTAGGTTTTCTTTCTAATTCTTTCCTCGTTCATTTTTAACAACTTTTACTACCATACATTAAAGTAGGGACTAACACAGCATTGTGAATTGCCATGCGTGCCTTTTTGGACACATTCTGACTTCCAACGATAGAGTATAGAGCCCCATTTACTTTATTTCCTGAGTTCCCTCGTCGTTCTAAGTATATCCTTATTATATTTTCCATCCCTGTCAAATACACATCCCAAATACAAAAACTCATTCACTTCCTCAATGAACTCCCCTTCTATTCTTATTTCATATGCCTATCGTTTTACTTTCTTCCCTTTCAAAAACAATCACTTACGTCTTAGTTGCGTTCACTTTAATTCTCCTTTCTTTTAATGACCCTGTTCATTAATGTAATCATCATTTACAACTCGACTGCCGACGACGTTGATATGACTTGATCACCGGCGTACAAAAAGCATTTGACGGTTAACTTGCCCATTCTTAATCCACATCCTTAGATAGATATTAGATATTATGCAGTGAAAAAATAAAAGCAAACAAGTATACAGCCTGGTAAGTTTTGAAGGGTAACCAAAAACCGTCTCATATGCGGAGTGGTATTGAGGTATCCCGGCCTAGAGATCAAATCAGTATACCATGTGAGTCTGAGCTTGCACCTTGTAAAGTTGCAAGCGGTGCACCGGTACGAAAATACCACCCCACTCTTCTAAGCACGCTAAACGATTTAGAGGTTAATTTGGTCTTCCCTTACAAGTTCGAACCGCGGAACGGATATTTTGACGTTGAAGAGTTGCCGTCTGAGACAACAAGGGGAGTACCCTGAAATTGAGGAGATTCGACAAAGCGTTCGTTGTAATATAATAATATAAAAAACTATTTACTGATCATAGAAGTTCAACAATTCTCCGCCCAATTGAAGAAGTAGTGATCCGTCCGGGTCTTTCTCAAACATGGACTCTAGAAGCTCCGGCCCGCTCAAGTACTCGACAAATGAGAGCGCGTAAAACTCAACCTTGGCTTCGTAATCTTCTTTAGAAATCCTTTCATTTTCTGCCTTTTCATCTGCCTCGTCCAATTTCCGCAAAAGACCTCTTCAAATATAAAAGTATAATTTACGTATATAAGAGATTTAAAACCAATGATAAAATTGATAGACACATTGATACTTGTATTTATTTTTCCCCATTCCGACTGGTAAGAAAGCTCAGCTATAATCAAAATAACTATAATGAGTTAACTAACCATCTGGTGTCATAATAATGTGGGAACTTTATACTAATTGAAATATTATACTGTGCGAAAGTAAATACTTCCAATGATTAAAAACAGCGAGCGTAGTTGACGATGCTCTAGGCACAAAATAGTAGCGCCACGGCAATCGACACACGCTACGATAATATCAAAACGAGACGGAGCGCGCGAAAAATCAAGTGACACAGATCCAATTTTGACGACCGCGACTCGTGCGGTAATGCATAGATTGCTGTGTATAATTATGCGGTAATGATTTCAGAATGCCGGCGCAGGGAAATATACGGTAGTTTTATTTAATTAATTAGAAAATAATACTAATGATTTAAAAAGTAAAAATCATAGTGTAGTTTAAGCAAATGTTGATGATTATTTTGATATAAATTTTACGCCAAAATAATGTAGAACTTCGGAGATATTGGGGCTTGTATCGAAGCTTTTTCAGTCGTTAATTGAATTATGTAGAATTTTTGTGAAATAAAAATATTTTTTTTGATGGTCGATATTCAATAGTATCTACAAAATATAGCTCCCAAATCATGACTCTCAGAGTTTTGGCCTAAACATGCCTCGGGAGAATGATTATTACTAAATGAATAAATAAGTTATATAAAATTTGGCTTGATGTTATTGTATTAGAGAAAACGAACTATTTTTACCAAGTAATTGTTATTTCAAACAACGAGTTTTCGCGTTTTTCTTTTTGTAATACTCCTCTTAAGCTTTACCGCCCTATAAAAACAAAACTAGGAGGACAAAAACAAAAACACAAAGTCGTATATTATAACTAACATATTTTAAAAAAAACAATTGATTAAAACGACTTTTACGGATTTTATCGCGTTTATTTTACTTTCAATTACTTTTATTTTTAATTCCCGACGTTTCGGGCGCTTTCCAGCACCCATGGTCACGGGGCACTGAGATGACTGACGTCCCGATGTCATTGTTAAACCAGGAGTACCTTCAGCTTTTTTAATTATTGTTTATGGTCCGATCTACGCAAAATGAACTGACTATGTCCTGAGTGGTTAAAAGTTGAGTGGGAAGGTCTTGCAGTGGTATGCTTGGGTTTAGCACTGCAAGACCTCAGGACATAAATGTCTACTGTGAAAATGGCGTCTATAAATCATCGCGCTTTTGACCCTTTATTATTTGATTGACAGATGAAGAGCTATCGTAGCACATAGCTATCTAAGCAAATAAGGCTGTAGTTTTTGAGTTACAACAAAGTGACCGTATTTACCCGATGACTATTTTCAGTCTTCCGCTGGCATTGGCGCGTGCCGTATGTGTCAACATGCCGCTCGTACGATCTCCTAACTCTGACGAAGTTACAAGTCGAAGTAACGAAATATGTAGTGAATTGTGATGTAATAAGTGCAAAGTGGTAATCAATGAATTGTTGGCCTTTGTTGGTAACAAGGTCGACACACTGCCGGAAACAGGAATTATACAAATTTGTATGAGTGCCTACTCTGCCGATGAAATTGAGAACGCAAGATCAGTTGCCTATAAGTTACTGGCGCCTACGAAGAAGTACATGAGAAGAAAGGAGGGGGCTGAGCAATAAAGCATTCAAGATATCAAAAAACTTAAACAAACTTCAGCCTGTATCATTTGATCACGTCGATGTGACAACTTTTCTTAAAGAAATGACTTTACTTAAGAGAGACGTAGCCTGTTTGAATGCTAAACAATCTGTGATAAGTAATGAAGTAAAATTATCGGTGGATATTGATTTAATACGAAAGGAGATTGATGATGTCAAAAAAATTATGTTGGAATTTCGCGAAGTCCGCCATGGCAGCAGTAAACGACAAGACGATCTGTTTCTTGGGTCTCATCATAATGATAAGAACACTAGAAACAAGTTAAATAATAGTTACGAGAATACTAAAAATTTAAATGGAGGTATCGTTGAGATTGATATCGACATGCCCCGAACGGACGTAAACAAACACGCATTATGTACCTACCTATAGAGATATAGCAAACACGATTCGCACGTAAACGAAAAGATGACGAAGGTTTTACGATTGTTACTAAAAAAGGGACATGTAAACAGGTATAGAAACAAGCGAGGTACTTTACAAAACGCGAATAAATTACAGGCTGCGGAATCATTTGCGTATGTCTAGCTCTCACGTACGAAAAAACACATAAATGAAAATGATATTAGAGACCATATAAAAGAAATGAAAGAAGAATGTATTGACATAGAAATGTTGAAACATACACGTGAAACTCATTTTAATTCTTTCACGATAACTGTCCTAACATCCAAAATTAACAATTTCTTACAAAAAAAGTTTTTGGCCAGAGGGTTTAGTCTTTCGAAGATACCGTAACCAGCGTTCTATTAAGGGCGATACAGTGGTGTCTAATAAATAATTGTGGTATACACAAAATAAAAATAATTTAAGATTAGTTTCGTTTAACTGTAAATCAATTAAGAGGTCTGTACAGCACGTTCGTGATTTGTGTGAGATATCAGATGTCATTGCTCTTCAAGAGACATGGCTGATGCCACATGACTTGGATTTCTTGAATCAAATCAACCAGGAATTTAGTTACTATGCTAAATCCTCTGTGGATACGTCAGTAGGTGTGCTGCGAGGGACTTATTCGTACGGTGGTTGTTCCTATTATGAAAAATAAAACCGAGGATATCTCGAGCTCGGTAAACTATAGGCCTATTTCTTTGGCCACTATAGTGGCCAAGGTATTTGAACGAGTATTACAGTTATACTTAAATTCCATAAATTACGATGATGGGCAATTTGGTTTTCGTCCGAATGTATCAACTGATATGGCTATATTTTCTCTAAAGCAAGTTATAAGTTATTATAAACAGCGGAATACTACTGTATACGCTTGTTTTCTTGATTTAAGTCGTGCCTTTGATACAATTAGTCATGAAATACTGTGGAAAAAGCTCCGTGACACTAGCAAAGGTGTCCTGGCTGAGGTTGTTGATCTCCTAGCGTTCTGGTACGGTAATCAGACCAACAACGTTAGGTGAGGTGGTGAAATATCGGATTGCTATAAGCTATCTCGTGGCGTGAGACAGGGAGGTGTTACCTCACCCGATCTTTTCAATACTTATATGAATGATTTTATCGTGGAGCTGAGCAGATCCCCGGTAGGGCTCAGACTGGACGACAGATATGTTAACAGCCTGAGCTATGCTGACGATATGGTGCTGCTCAGTCCCTCGATTAAAGGCTTGAAAAAATTAATTGAAATCTGTGAAAGATACGCGGAAGAACATAATTTGACTTACAACTCCAAAAAGTCAGAAATGATGATTTTCAGATCAGGGAAGTTACCTCAGAGCGTGCCCGAGATTCGTCTTAATGGAAAATTTATTAAGATAGTACACAAGTTCAAGTATCTTGGCCATATTGTTACTTCAGACTTAAAAGATGACATGTACAGATGTTAGGTGAAAGTTGCTGGGTGACGATAGACTTTTGGAAATATTGCAACATGTCTATTCTTGCTATACATATATATATATATATATATATATATATATATATATATATATATATATATATATATATATATATACTATATTATATTTTCTTGTAAATATGAATCTTTGTGTCTGCAATAAAGGATTATTATTATTATTATTATTATTATTATATTTTGTACGGATGACGTGGTGAGGAATTTGCGTGTGAGTCGGCAGGTGGTGAGAATGACAGCTTTCTGCAGGGTGTGAAGTGTGTGTTGGGGTACTTGCAAAATATCTAGACTGCGTTGTAGGCTTTTAGGTATAACTCCGGTAGATGAGATAATTATTGGGACTATATGGATGGTTTCTGCTCTCCATTGACGCTTGAGTTCTATAGCTAAATCTTGATATTTTGTAAGTTTTTCAGCTATGGTGGATTGAATGTTATGGGTGTTTGGTATGGCAATGTTAGTAAGGTAAGTAGTTTTGTTATTTTTGTCATACACTGTGATATTAGGCCTATTGAAGTGAATAATTTTATCCGTGATAATGGTCCTGTCCCAGTAGATTCTATGATTATTGTTTTCTAATATGATGTCCGGCTTATATTTGTAATATGGTGTCATTTTTTGTATGAATTTAAATGTAAGGGCAAGATATTGGTGTATTACGGAGACACCTGGTCAAGCCAATGCTTATAGTCGGTTTGTGCAAGGGCTCTACAGGCGGATGTTATGTGTTGTATGTTTTCGGGGCTAGAGTAGCAATGTCTGCAAGTATCAGAGGGGAGGTTAGGTGCACGTATTATGTGTCTCTGGAAGTTTCGGGTATCGATGACCTGGTCCTGGATCGCTAACATGAATGCCTCCATCTCTGGGAAGAGTTCACCGCGCCTCAACCAGGCGTTCGGCGCTTTTTTGTCGACATGTGAGAGCTGCAGGTCGTGGTAGTGCCCTCCGTGTAGGGACTTCTGTTGCCATGAGGCCATCTTCTCTTTTACGTCAGTGATCCGTTCACTGCGTTGTGTGTTTCGGTCCGCGAGGTTTAGTGGTGTGAGGCGTTTGTCGGCTATGGTTACTATTTCGTGGAGAAGTGAGTGTTCTGAGCGTTGATGGAAATATTGTCGAAGGGATTTGATTTGTTTATTGTGCAAGTTGAGGACATCTATTATACCTCGTCCTCCCTCGGATCTTGAAAGAGTCATCCTTTGCACGCATGATCTAGGGTGGTGCTTGCGGTGAGTCGTTAGAGTGGTATTTATAATACGTTGCAGATTGATAAGGTCACCTTGAGTCCAGTTTATTATACCAAACGAGTATGTCAGTATGGGGATTGCGTAACTATTGATTGCTTTTGACATGTTGCGGGAGTTGAGTTGAGACCGGAATATACTATTGAGCCGATGTTTAAATTTCTTTTTGAGACCTTCTTTCGTTTCCTTTTGATGGATCTGTCGCGCTTGTTGGAAGCCTAAGTATTTATATGAGGCGTGGGGTTCTAGAGGTTCAATCGTGTCTCCTGTTACTAGGCTATAGCTGTTGGGGTTAATTTTTAACCGAGAAAGTTTTGCACTTGTCAATCCCAAACTCCATATGAATGTCGTTTGAGAAAGATTGGGTGATGTCTGCGAGGCGATGCAGTGACTGTGTAGTGTTACTGTATAGTTTTATGTCATCCATGTACATCAGGTGTGTTAGAGTGGTGTGTTGTGTGTGGTGTGATGATAGAGTAACCATAATTGGTTTTGTTCAGCATTTGCGAGAGAGGGTTTAATGCGAGACAGAACCATACAGGGCTGAGCGCATCCCCTTGGAAGATTCCTCGACGTATTGGAATTTCTGATGTTTCTATACAAGACGTTCCTATGGTTTTTAATGTAGTTATCCAGTGCTGCATTGATTTTTCTAGAAAATGTATAAGTTGTGGGTGAATTTTATAGTGTTGAAGTACATGTAGGAGCCAGCTGTGCGGTACAGAGTCGAATGCTTTTCAGTAGTCAATATACATTGTATTGATGTTCTTCCTTTTAGAAATAGCGTGTTTCATTGCTACGGAGTCTATTATGAGTTGCTCTTTACACCCCTGACTACTTTTTTCGACATCCTTTTTTTTTCTTCAGTAAGGATGTTGTTTGTGGCTATATGTTGATGTAAGAGTTCGGCTATACATGCTGTAAGTAGTTTATAAATGGTTTGGAGACATGTGATAGGTCTGAATTTGGCAGGATTTTGATGATCTGCGTCTTTCGGAATCATGTATGTGAGGCCTTGTGTAATGTATCGGGGCATTATGTCTGGCTTTTGTATAAAATCATTGATATGGTTATGAAGTAGAGGGTGAATTGTTGAAAGTTTCTTATACCAGTAGTTATGTATACGGTCACTTCCGGGTGCTTTCCAGCTATGGGTTTTTTTAGTATATGCACAAATACTTCCAGAGGTATTTGTTCAAATGCCATTGGTGTGATAGAATCAGTTTATTATTATTATTATTATTTTACCCTCACGTACTATAATATTAAAAGAATATCCATTACCGCATTACTTCATATCATCTCGCGGATGTCGTAAGAAGCGACAAAGGAAACTGAGACTGGAGACGGGCAGCAGCATCTTCCTAATAACAACTCAAAACAATTACAAACTGCAGTTGCCAATCTGCCTGCTTAGCGTGGCGTGACACCTACTGGAGAAGGCAGAACGCTGCCGGGTCAGCTAATATACTATAAGATCTACAAAATGTGAAAATGTTGATTACAAATTACTTACATGGAAGTATAATCCACTTACCTAAAAAGAGCTCTCCCACCTTCTCTCTCTTCATCCGTGATAATTTTATAATCAAGGTAGGTTACCCTCACTAACGCTGATTTCATAAACTGATAAGCCATGGGATCATCGCAGCATGGATTCCCTTTGAAGCTCACTGAGCGAAGGAATCTGAATCTCCTTAAATAAGCCATCTGTACATAGCAATAAGACAGTTCTTTATTTATATGACGCAAGCTTAGAAAGTGTAGCCACTTCAGCTGTGTGTGATTAAATTTCAATCCCCTGACCCTATTGCGACAATGTTAACTACGAATAGTAATCCAATCCAATATCTGCGACGTAATACCTACTCGTAGTTACTCCGATTACTAGGCCACTTGCAGAACGTATTATTTAGTATCTACTCTTTAATATAGACCTCTTCATATACGCTCTCCAAAGAGAGCATTACCTACGTACCTACGTTAGGTATGTACGTGCTAGGTACTTAACTTAGACATGCTATTTGCTGACACGCTCCCACTCAAAATAAATCTAAGCCTGCAGGATTTATTATATTGCAAAAATTATTATGTTAGGTACCACGTTTTTATTAAGTCACTTTCTTGTTTGCCTTTGTCGGTCTGTCTGTCTCTGTCTGTCGTTACGGGGTGGAATCTTGCAACTCATATTTCGAGCACTTCCTGATGAACTAGAGCAGCGGTTCTCAAACTTTTTTGGTCACGGAACCCTTTTGACAAGCAAAATACTTGACGGAACCCTACAATAAAACAATAGTTTTTAAAAGTGTATTCTTTATTATATAAGCATAATAAAAGTACAATGTAACAGTTACTAATTATTACTTACTTTACCACATGGCAAGTACAGTAATAGAAGATATTAAAAATGAACAAAATCATAACTAATGGGAGGTATGAAACTGTTTTTTATTTTTCATCAATTGGTTGATATCAGGTTTGATAGAAGACATTTGAAGTCTCATATCAGGTTCGGCGTCCAGTCTATTGCGATATTTTGTTTTCGTGGCTGCATAGGTTGAGAATCCTGTTTCGCACAAATATGTTGTTGGGAACGGGAGAAGAATATTCGGAGCCATTCTGCCAAGCATTAGATATTCATCACGGATTCTGCACCAAAAATCATTGAGAGGCGTCGTTTTGAACAGTGACTCCCTACTTGTGTCTGATGACATTTCTAAAAGAGATTCATATATCTCGTTTGACATACTTTCGGGTTTTTGCAAGTTGGGTAAAAAAGAATGAATCCATGAATTCAGCTTCATTTTGTATTCTGTTCTTAATACTTTTCAAAAGATGCGCGCATCGAAGTGAGATATTGGACCAATTCTTCAAACACATCATATTGAAACATTTCTGAGTCGTTATCGCTAACAAACACACTGAGTGACGTAAAGCTTTCTATTTCTCTCTTACCAATGCAAATAATCCAAAAATCTAATTTTCTTTTGAAGGCAGTTATTTTGTTATAGGCCTGGAACACTGCTGTCTGTTTACCTTTCAAGGATAAATTCAATTCGTTCAGTTTTTGAAAGATATCCGCCATAAAAGACAATCGGAACAACCAAGTTTTACCATACAAACGGTCTTTCAAATTAAAAGAAACTGTATCTGCTGAAAGAAACATTTGTAACTTGGCTCTAAGTTCAAATAGTCTTGTTAAAATTTTACCCCGAGACAGCCATCGCACTTCTGTATTCAGCACCTGTGTTTTATGTTTGCTGCCATAATCTTCACACAATAATGAGAACAATCGGGATAGTAGTCGTGATTTGATAAAATTAATTATTTTTACCGCTTCATCCATAACTACTTTTAGATTTGACGGCATTTGCTTCATCGCAAGTGCTTGTCTGCAGAATACAATGGCTGGAACTACAATTAGGCGCTTTACTTATTATTCGTGATACTGCTCCTGCTGTTTTACCTGTCATTGCCTTGGCCCCATCTGTACAAATGTCAATGCAATCGTTCCAACTAAGATTATTTTCTTTAAAAAAATATGTTTATTTTATTAAAAATTTCTTCCCCGGTGGTGTTTGTGGGCAGCGGTGAACACATAAGCATGTCTTCTTCAAAAGAACGTTCATATGGATATCTCACGATAACCAGCAAGATAGACCAGTGACATCAGTTGACTCCATTTGCAAGGAGAATCGTGTTTTTTGTAGACGTGCAACTATTTCTTGTTTGACGTAGCTTGCCAGATTATGGATTCGCCGTAAACTAGTATCGTTTGATAGCGGTACAGTAGAAAGATGCTTTGCATATTTTTCATCGTAAATTTTGTTATGTCTATCTAACACATGGCTTTATTAAATTCTCAGCGATAGTGTGCGCTTCACCTGCTTGTGCAATGCGATAGCTAACTAAATATGATGCCTCCGTGGCCTTTTCATTGATAGTTTGTGCTACATGCATCATATTTTTTTGACTTTCCAATAACTGTTCTTTTTTACGAACAAAAAATTCTTTATTCTTGTCTTTAGACTCGGGGTGTACAGTTTCTAAATGTCTGCGCAATTTGGCTGGTGCCATGGAACTATTAGGAAGCAGTTTACTACATAACATGCAGAGAGATGAGTCGTTGGAATTAACAAATCCGAAACTGATATATGATTCATCATACTTCCTTTTTTTCGTCTTTGAAACCGTGGAGCTTGACGTCGTGGCATCATCGTCTGGATCGGTAATTGCTATATTCTCTGCGCGTACTGCTTTTGAACATTCAGCGTCATTAGAAGATGTTCTTGCAACACGTTTAACACCTTTAAGCCAACGTTCCATTCTTCTTTATTAATAATGTTACACGTCAGGATGGTGGGGTCAAAATAATACACAATCGTTACTGCGTTTATGAGACAAAGTTTAGTCCAAAGAAGAAAGGTACAAAACTGATACAATCAGAATACAGCAGGCAGTAGAACAATGAACACTAGTTTCATATCACGTTTAAACTCCGCAATTCGCTAGCTAGCTTGTAAGTAGGTAGGTAGGAACGAGTCAACTGACTGACGAGGCGCGACTTTTTTTTTTGCGCCCGAAGCAATTAAAGGGCTACCCTATACGTAGGGAGGCGGAAAATGCATTACACATACCACGATAGCCGGTCTATCGTGGTTATGAGGGGCTCACTGTCCTACCGGGGACCCTAAGTGATACCCTCTAAAAACCGCCTTTGGGGACAGGCAACCGGCTGATTAAGCTCTATTGTGCCTTATCATGAGCGACCCTCTTTTGGGAAAAGAGGGCGCAGGCGGCTAAGTGCCGCTGAGGGAGTGCCTACGAAGGCAAATTAATGTTAGTTATTACAATAATTTTATTTAATTAGAGTTGGCCTGAGCCGCCAGGAGACAGTTCAGGTCGTTTGAAAGTTTATTAGGCGGGTCCGAGAGAGAGTTTCTCGGCCTGCGGACACGATAGCGAGAGGGGGGTGGGGCTGCATAAGAAGCGACCTCACGAATTAAATGGTTTGGGTGCGACTCTGAGGCTTTGAAGAAGTTCTCAGAGAGTTTTTTAAAAAAATTGTTGAATTGTTGGGAGCTCTAAGTCCCGATGAAGGTCGGCATTACGGACGTACCACGGTGCGTTCGCAGCTCGACGACAGAAGAGGTTCTGAACTATTTGGAGTTCATTTAAAATGTTAGGGTTTGCGTGGGCAAAGACGGGGCCCGCGTAGGACATGACTGGTCGTATACAGACCTTGTAAAGGGTACGCTTGTTTCGAAGGGACATTTTATTGTGTCGGCCTAACATACTGTTGAGCCTACTCAGATAAAACCGTGCGTGACGGGTTACTCTTTTGACGTGGGGCTTGAAAGTGAGCCCTGTGTCTAGAGTGACACCTAAATATTTGGCGGACGTATGCCAGGGGACAGGGATCCCTAGCATACGTATTGGTGGAGTGTTTTTGAGACGGCGTCGTTTATAATCGAAGTGAACGGCGGAGCTCTTCTCCGGGTTCACATCGATGCGCCATTTTTTGAACCAAGCACCTAGGTCATCAACTGACTTTTGGATCTTGTTCCGTATGAAGGGTAGTGAGACACCTTTGCAGTAGATGGCAGTGTCGTCTGCGAAGAGGGAGAGTTGAACACCTTTCGACGGGATGGCAATGTCGTTGGTGAACAGGATGTACAGCAGAGGAGCAAGTACTGAGCCCTGAGGGACACCAGCCTTGATAGTTCGCTGTGAAGAAAGCGTGCCTTCGTGTCTAAAACGAAAGGTACGATGTTTTAAATAGGAGGCCACGAGACGAACTAGACGATCGGGGAGACCTATTTTATAGAGCTTGTAGATGAGGCCTGTGTGCCAGACTCTATCGAAAGCTTTAGCTATATCGAAAAAGACCGCGATGGTCTTATGACGACGAGGATAGAAACCGCTGAGGACATATTCCACAATGCGGTGAACTTGTTGGGGACATGAGTGTTTGGCTCGGAAACCGAATTGATGGGGAATGATAAGAGGGTCGCCGTCTGTGGGAAACAGATAGCGCCTCATACGCGTTTGGATGACTCTTTCGAAGAGCTTGCCTATTGCCTTGAGGAGGCTAATGGGGCGATGGCTGGAGGGGGAGGTTGAGAGGCTTGCCTGGCTTGGGAATTCCAATCACAGTAGCCTCTTTCCACGTAGTGGGGAAATAACTGAGGTTGAAGCAGGCGTTGAAGATAATAGATAAAAAGGTTAACACCTGCTCAGGAAAGTGTTTTAGGGCTTGGTTGGAGATGCCATCCGCGCCCGGAGCCTTTTTGGGCTTAAGTCCTTTGATGAGGGATGAAATCTCATCATTGGACACAGAGATAGGTTCGGAGGCCGTAGGTGGTGAGTTCCGGCGGCGGACCTCATCCTCCACTGCCTGGACGTGAGAGGGGTCGACGGGTTGAGAACTAGGAGAGCATTGAGCGGCAATGCTATTTGCAAAGCACTCAGCCTTTTCCTCGTCCTCGAAGGCAACCGTGCCGTCGGGACGGGAGAGAGGGGGAGTGTGGGTGATAGCGTCTATGCGGAGGGCTCTAGCCATCTGATAGTACGCTGTGTGAGAAGGAGAGATATTCTCCATGAGCTTACTCTTTTCGAGGTCTCGAAATTCAGAGAGGCGGAAGCGGAGTTCTCCTTGAAGACGATTGGCCGCGCGCCTATATTCGGGGGTGGGATATTTTGCTGCTCTCCGGAAAGCAGCTTTTATGGCTTTTAATAGGTTGCTAATATGTAGGGGAAGCCCACTATTGTTAGCAACCGGGAAGACCCTTTCGTTCTCCTTAAGGGAGGATTTAATAAGGGTGGAGAGTGAATCGACCGCGGTGTCGATTTTTTCGGGACTATCTAAGTCCGACGGTAGGGAGATGGTAGAGTCCTGTGAGTCCAAAGCTTTAGCTAGGGACTCCTTGAATCCCTTCCAGTTAGTGAAGGTTTTCGTGTGTGTTGGGGGAGGTGGCTGATGGCCAAGAATGAGGGAGACCGGTCGGTGATCTGATCCTAGATCGTCTAGTGTCTCGATTGCTCAGAGGTTGAGAGAAACTCCTTGGAGTAACGCAAAATCTAACACATCGGGGGCGTGATCGGTGTTATCGGGAAAGTGAGTAACTCCGAGAGGACTATGGACGGTAATATCAAGAGACTGCGTGATATCGAGCAGTATCTTGCCACTAGGGGACGTAGTGCGGCATGTCCATTCAGTATGCTTGGAGTTAAAATCTCCAAACAATTGCCTAAAGATAAAATGGCCTCAAAATCCTTTTTGAGGGGATAGGTTCCTGAAGGGATGTAACAGGAAGCTATGAGAATGGACTGATGTCCAGTCATAGCTAGCCTGCATACCGTGGCTTCCATGTTGGTAAGCTGCGGAGTAGAAATGGGCGAGCAATGAAGTGTCTTCTTGTAGTAGATGGCCGTTCCGCCGCCTCGGCGGTCGGGTCTGTCGTTACGAAGAAGAGAGAAGTATTTAATAGAAAGGCCTCTAGTGTCCTTAGCTTTGAGATTAGTTTCCTGTAGGAGGAGGAAATCGACTTCACGATTCCGAAGAAAGAGCTTGAACTCTGGGAGGTTATTTCGCAAGCCGCGAATATTAAATGATACAAGCGATAAACCCTTAGGTTTGATACGACCGTGAGATCTTGGTAGGTTAATTCGCTCAGTCATTGAAGTTAAGTTAATTAAGTTAACCTAACTTACAACGCTAACAGAAGGTTATTGTGCTCCGCAAGAACGAGGAGACGTTCTTGGGGGGACTTGGCCGCGCGCAGTTTGCGTGATACTACTGTTATTTCCCTAACATCGATATTCCTAATAGCGGAATATAGCGTGTTGTAGTCGTCGATTGTGGGCTCTGCTTCATGAGCGTACGAGGTTGTCCGCGGTGGGTCTGCCTTTTTGGGCCCCCAGGGAAAGACTGGAGGCTGCATTGGCTTGGAGAAGCCCGGAGGGGGGCCGAATTATGCCCTGAGGGGGGCCTAGGGGGGACCCTGAGAGGGTCGAGAGAAGCCCTGGGTGGGCTGAGAAAGGCCCTGACGGGGCCGTTGTTGGAGGGCCGGGAATGAGCGGTCATTCATCGGCGGTGGAGCTTGCCTACTGGGGCGAGGTTGAGGTGCGCGTGGGCAACCCTTGTAATTAGCCGGGTGTCCTGTCTGGTTGCACAGGACACAAGCGGGCGGGGATTCGGCGTCTTTGGGCCGGGGACACTCTTTCGTGTTATGTGGTTCTAGGCACTTAACGCACCTGGGTGGGGCGGAGCAGTTGGCCGCCGCGTGACCATAAAGTTGGCAGCGGTGGCACTGCGCCGGGAAACCGGGCCTATGTGGGGGCTCTACCTTCACCCTTGACAGGCCACACACTGTGCGTACCTGCCGGAAGATGGCTTTAGCCTCCGGCACGTTTGATAGGATTACTAGGGCAAGGTTGTATCTCTTGCCCGTTCTGTTGTGCATTTTGTGCACGGCTTCGACTGGAAAGCCTTGGGACTTAAGGTCCTCAAGTATTTCCACGTTCGAGAACTCGAAGGGGACGCCTCGGATGACGGCCCTGACTTCACGCTCTTCCGGGAGAGCGTAGGTGTGGTAGGAGACTCGTTCGGCTGTGAAAAGCCTGGTGAGTTTTCGGAAATCCTCGATCGAGCTGGGGATGATTTTGATAGCCTCCCCGAGGTTGACAGCATTGTCGTACTTAATTCCTGCGTCGTAGCAGGTTTTCGACAGTTTGGTGAATTTGGCCTTGTCTCTTAGGAAGACAGGGGGCGGGACTTACTTCTTAGCAAGGACTGGAGCACATCGAGAGGAAGGTTTAGATGGAGTTGGGATGTCAAGGGACATGAGCGGGATGGCGGCAGCGGCGGGGGCTGCGGAAGTTGGAGGAGCGGCAGGGGCCGCTGAGATAGGCGGGGTGCGTTTTATCGCGGCGCGCTTTCCGTTGCGCTTGGAGTTGACGGCAGTGAATGTGGACTCCCCGGTTCCGTCGGAGTCAGAGGACTCCGATGAACCGGAGCCTGTAGTAGTGGCGCGCCTCTTCCGGGAGGACGGCGCCGAGGACTCGGAGCATGCGTACTCCATTTCTAGGGGGGCAGATTCGAGCGGGGTAAAAGAGTTCCTCGTTTCAAGGTAAGATGCGATTACCGGCGGGCGAGGCGCGACGCGCGATCGCCGCTTTTATACTTAGTCCTAGACTTGAACTCGAACATTCAAACTCAAAAATACTCGAGTCGGCGCCTTTGATAAATAAAAAGCGGAAATAAAAATAGAAATACAAAAAAATGCGTTGTAAACAATCTCGACTTTATGTTTTTGAAGATAGAGCCGAAAGTCGCTTGTTCACAACTATAGCGTCTAATTCGGAGGCGGCTTTTATCAAAGGAACTGTGCTCTCACAAGTATACGCGCGGCGGGCGGAATCAAAACGTTCAACCAGTGACCAGAGAGAGGTGCTTTGATTTTTTTCTAAATTCTTGCGGAACCCCTACAGGGGTATCGCGGAACCCTAGGGTTCCGTGGAACACACTTAGAGTACCGCTGAGCTAGAGACTTGAAATTTTGAACTTAGCTCAAATCGGATGACAATGTAGGAATATGAAAAACGTGGTATGTTACATTTTTTTAATACGAAATTGTAAAAAACATCCCTTGTTTTTCATCATCATAAATCCGTTATTTCTAATACTGTATTTTTTTTAATTTCATTGACATCCTTGTTTTCTGGTTAGAAATTAGAATATCTTTCTTGCGTCGATATTCGAATTCCTAGCTATAGTGGTTTTTTTAAAGAGAACAAGCACAAGAATAGAGACAAAAGGTTAATTCAAAGGCGAGTTCAGTTGCCGTGGTAGGTAAAGATTATCTGTATACACTATAAATTTATGACACGAAAAACAGGTTTTTAAGAAACATGGCCCCTGTCTACTACCCTAGATTTAACGTTGTGTTTGTGTCCAAATTATTGCAGGGGTACGTCATATTATATGAGACTGCCTGACGGGAAAGAAGTTAATAAATGACGAAATTATGATTTTATATACCATTTTGGTTTTCGGCTAAAGTGATACGCGTGCTTGTGCTATTACTCCACACGCAGGAAACATTAATTTGGAACCACTGTTTTATAGTACTTAACATTTTACTTTATGTTTAACTAGCTATCCGCTCCAGCTTCGCACAGGTGATTTCTGGATCTCGACAACAGTGCCACCTACCCGGTTCAATTGTGAATCTATATCATCTTGGGTCCCACTCAAACACTACGTGACTAACGGACAGTAATTGGTTTCTATATCTTAATATATATAAAGTACGTGTCGCGTTGTTTGTCCGCAATGAACTCCGAAACTACTAAACCGAATTTAATCAAATTTGCACACCGTGTGCAGTTTGGTCCAACTTGAGGGATAGGATAGTTTTTTTTGCCCATGAGTGACCCACAATTTTTTTTGCGAATTTAAGGATTTTTAATAGGACATGACAAAGGGTCGTCGAAAAGGGCAGAACAACGTCTGCCTGGCAAGCTAGTATATATATATATAATAAACGTGAAATTCGTTTTAGCACAATAAGTTCACTACTTCACATGAACAATAAAATTGTGTTTTATTTTTCCTCTTATTAATAATTTATAATGTTTTTAATAAAACTGTCTTACTTTTAGACTAGGATAGAACTAGGGATTATTTAGTAGTATGACAAAAAGAAATAACAAATGGTGAGAGTTTGGATCATCGATAGTAGTAAGCATGTTAGTTAAAACAAGTGTTAGGAAAAAAGTGACAGTTTTGTATTGTATTCACAATAAGTCGATTCATTTCTAGGTGGTACAACTTCTTTCTTGCCTAAGAGCCCGTCTTGGTAGACACCACTCTCTTCTCTATCTCTCCTGACATGCATTACGTGCTCTGTTACAGTCTGAAGGGTGTATAGAGCCAGTATAATTACCTACAGGTTGTGAGGCTTTTCATCTTAGACCTCAAAGGTGGAAGTTGTCTGTAGGTGGCCCTGAGCTGTAGCAGCCACATACCATCAGGTAGACTGTAAGTTTATTTGTCACTTCAATTTTAATAAAAAATACTTCACTATACAAGTCGTTATAAAGTTGCAGCCTATATACTTCCCACAGCTGGGCACAGGCCTCCCCTCATTTCTGAGAGGGTTTTTAGGGTAAGGAAGTGTCCACCGCGCTGCCCCAATGCGTGTTGACGAACTTCATATGTCTTCGAAATATTTTTATTGTCTTATTTCTCAGACATGCAGGTTTCCTCACGATGTTTTCCTTCACCGCCGAGCACGCGGTAAATCAGCACCTAAAATTGCAATTAACAATTTCATTGGCGCCAGCAGGAATCGAACCCGGTTTGCTCGCGTATTGTGAAATCTACAACGAGAGCTAACCATCTGAGCTACCACGGCTCTCAGTAGTATAACAAGTCGTTATAATTAATTATTTTTGAAAGAAGTGTTTGCAAGATAATGCCTTAGTTTAAGACGCTTCTTCTAGCGAACGAACTTGAGCGTTCAGTCCTATACAATTCACGCGCTCTCGCTACAATATATCGGGTAAAAATACGCCCGAATTTTTGGAATTATTTCAATTAAAAAAAGAAAAGCGTACTTAGGAAATTAAATAAAGCATGAATAATATAGATTTTTAAATTGTCTATCCATTAGTGTAATCCTCAAATAATTAGAGCATTGCCTTTAGCAACAGATGCATCTAATCAGTAATTTTAGTCGTTTTTTTAAAAGTTGATTTTAAATGTATTTATAACGCATAAAAACAAATTAGAACATGGAATGTGATGATAGGATATTGAACATTAATAATGTTCTTTTAGATGTAGCTTATTTCTCATAACTAATGAGATAATAGTCTCTGAAAAACGCACTTTTGTAGTACCGCCCCGCCTAGCGACCAACAAATGATAATAAAATGTACACGAAAACGTACGTGTTAAAAATGTACACGATGAAATACCAAAATATTATATATAAACAAGTATTTCTCGTTTTGTACATTACATACCTCCTTATAATCTTCAATTAAATTATCTCCAATGCTAAAAACTAGTAACTTATTTAACTTCTCCATATTCTCCAGTTTTCTTATTTTATTGTGGAAGAGCGTTAGTACTTCCAAATTCACTAGAGCATCTAAATTTTCAATTTTTTCTATTTTATTGAACGATAAATCTAATTCGTTGAGACCCGTAAGTTGTTCTAGGTTTTCGATTTTTTCAATCAAATTGTGGGCTAACGTAAGTTTCCTAAGTGACTTTAGCATCCAAAGATGATCAATTCTTAAAATATTCTGAAATTCAAGTCTCACTGTTTGCGTTTCATCTAAATGAACACCTTCTTCTGCGAATAATCTTCCCGCTTCTTCTTTTGGCCCTATAATACATTTTATTTTTATTATTTAGGTACAGCTATATAACGAAACAGAAAACAGTATAGCATAAGTTTAGCCTTAGATTGAATATGATGAAGATGTTTTTACGAACAATTTCGATTACGATGACTTCCAAATATTTCCAGATATTATCTAAAAAATTATAAAATGTACAATCACCAAGACGTGAACGTGACCTTTTACTCCTGGCTGTTGCGAAGAAATTTAAAATCGCTCAGCGAGCCATGGTAAGGGCTATGCTCGGGCTTGTTTTGTTCGATAAATAGATAGATAGAATACGTACCTAATGAATATATCCGCAATAGAACACAAGCATTCGAGATAATTATGTTATCCGCAATATAATTCGAGCATCCGGCATCGAGCATCCAGCGGTGTTAGAGTACCCACTACCATATAATCATCTCGTGGGTATCGGAATGATGCATGACTCAATGATAATAAAAAAACTGCGGTCCCAAACTCCTTTCCAGCGTGGCAACTATAGCAAATAGGAGCTGCAATCTATGGGGAGGCCTGTGTTGAATGGACTTACACTTAACTTGCAGCAGACCTATGTGGCAGAAGTGAAAGAATAAAAAAAATACCAAGTTAACTCAATGGATCTAAACGCCAATGGGCAGGTCGTATAGCTCAAAAATCTACGACTGTTGGGAAAGAAAAAAAGTTTCTCGAGTGCCAGGCTTGTACTGTCAATCATAGTTGACAGTACAAGCCTGCCTCGAGATACAGTACAAGCCTGGCACATCGTCCAATAGATGGAGAGAATCTGATGAAACACTGCATCCTTCAGAACTTCAGATTATATATAGACAGAGATTAGAAGCGTTAGGAGCTAGACACTTCTTGACAAGATATTGAGAAGGATTGTGTTCACTTCAACAGGAGCTATGGTACATAAAGAACTCAAACTTACCGTGTTCTAATATGCATCGTGTGAGCATAGCATTGTCTATTACACCGGGTTCAATGTCAGGATGAATTATCATTTTGTTCAAAGATTTCGTTTCAGTCATGTTTAAAAGAATCCTGAATTATTAAAGGGAGAAATGTTACGTTACTTTGATAATAATATAAAACTTTCCATAGCAACTGATAACATTAGGTGATCTGTGCATAGCAACCATTATACTCGTACTGCAGCGTCATGTAGGGTTGCCCATGCTTGATTTTTATAGGACCATCAGCGGGCCAGACTCAAAAATAGAACATTAATTACAATTAGAATTTCCTGATTTCAAAAAAGGAGAAAGCTTAAAATTCGACTGTGCCTTTTTTTTTTCGAAATAAAATCCCGATAAAACGATGTCTCAATACACCATTAATAAAAACTCTATTTTCATTAAAAACAACACATAGCGTTCAAAACCTAAACAATGGAATTCTAAAACCAAAATGTATACATTCCTAAACGCGATCTCTTCATATACATTCCTAAATACTTCGGTAACACCTAAATTGTATACAATTCCTAAATTCATACATTTCCTGTAACATATATATTTATGTTACGCGATATATTCGAAAAGTGAACATCTTGTGATGATTTATAGGGTTAGTCAACTAAGAACCCTTATAGTTTCGCCATGTCTGTCTGTCCGTCTGTCCGTCCTCGCTTAATCTCTGTGACCGTTAGCAATAGAAAGCTGAAATTTGGTACCAATATGTGTATCAATTACGACAAATTAGTAAAATAAAAATTGGAAAAAATGTTTTCTTAGGGTAGCCCCCCTATATATGATTTGAATGTTTCCAAGTGTTTTGCTATGACCTTTTCTCGTAAATTTAACCCTATAAATTATCAATATAAAATCAATAATAAGTCACTTAACAAAGTTACATCTATGAAAGACCTGGGTCTCATTCAAGATTCTAAACTCTTATTTGATAAGCACATTGATTACGTAGTGAAAAAGGCCTCCAAATCTCTTGCTTTCATTATAAGGTCTACATATGAATTTAAATCTATTAAACCGATTAAAGTACTTTATTGTGCTTATGTGCGCAGTATCCTTGAGTATGCCTCTGTGGTCTGGAATCCACAATATAACGTGTATACTTCCCGTATTGAGTCCATACAAAAAAGGTTCTTGAGATATCTACAATACAAGTGTAAGCAATTGGACCATGGTTATGAAACGAGATGCAATAGATACCACTTATTACCTTTAGAAAAAAGACGGCAACTCTTCGATATTACGTATCTATTAAAAATTGTCGGAGGCATCATTGATTGCCCTGCTTTGCTGGAAAAGGTAAGCATCTGGGTTCCGCGTAGATTACCAACTAGACGTACTCAGTCACTGGCTATTCCTAGAGTCAATACTAACTACCGCCGCAATTCATTTATTATTCTTGCGAGTAACTTTTTTAACAAATTGTCAATAAATAACGGCGAATTAGAACTATTCCGTACCAAGCCTCATAATGTAAGTAGATTGTTTGCGTTGGAGTTCTTTGGCCCCCGCGCCGTGGGTGCAACAAATTCTTAAATACTCTCAAATTTTAAAAACACTCCTCAACTTCGGGGATTTACTTGTTTATTGTTACTGTTGTCATGGCCTCTTTACATTTAAATAACCATATGCGAATACCTGTAAATGGCTTTGTCGAAATGACCAATTTGTATTCATGTAACGTTTATATGCTGTTGGTGTTCCAAATAAAAAAAAAATAAAAAAAAAATAAAAAATAAAAAAAATATGTAAAGTGGGAAGTGATTTTTTTTAATTTCAACCCTAACATGTGATATATTGTTGGAAAGGTATTTAAAAATGAATAGGGGTTTACTAAAATCATTTTTTAATAATGTCAATAATTTCGGAAATAATCGCTCCAAAATTAAAAAACAATGTGTCCCCCCCCCCCCTCTAACTTTTGAACGATAAGTTTAGAAAATATGAAAAAAATCTGAAAAGTAGAACTTTATAAGGACTTTCTAGGAAAATCATTTTGAACTTGGATGGAAACAACAGTACCCACTACCGGGAGCAGTTGCAGGAGCGCGGAGCGCTGCTGGAGCGCGAACATAATGGATACCCACCTTTAAACTCATAAGTGGGAACACTTATTGTGACGGACGGGAAACTACGGAACCCTACACTGAGCGTGGCCTGACACGCTCTTAGCCGTTTTTTATATCAATAAGTAGAATATACTTAGGGATGGTCCCATATAAATTTGTAAAAAAAACATTAATGCTCCTATTTAGAAAATATTGTTCCTTATATTACATATTTTTCTTAATCTACTCAAAGGGGTAAAAATAAATAACTTTAAAAGAGTAAAAGCCGACTTCGAAGAACTAAACTAAGTTTTGGCAAATCGAAATGTGCATGCCTTAAGCGCTCATGTAATACGTCATATTTTTAAAGTATTTTAAATACACCCAAGTTTAAAAAAATTATTACTTCAAAATTTCCTATAATTTCATGTCAAACGCCAATAAAAAAAATTATGTAGGTAAAAAAGATGTGCCCGAGTATAAATACCCAAAAATTAAAGTAATATTAAAGTTGATTTCTGATCGTTTTAAGATAATTCTGTTAAGAGCTTTTACAATTAACAATATTTTTTTAAATATTTATTAATAACTATTATTTAACTATTTATAAATAAATTAAGAGCTTTTACAATTAACTTTTTTTTTTAAATTTGTTATAATATATTACCTATATATATAACATAAATGTCGGAAAGATCTTACGACAGATTTCCGTATAAACATCCCATTCAAGCTTGACTTAAAATACCTATTCAGACCGATCTGATGGTTTACCATCTCGTTCATGAAAATAATTTCGGTCTGCAACAAGAAAAACGTATGTTCATTAATCAAAATGTTCGTGCCGACAAAGAAGAAAAGGTTAAAATTAATCCGCATATCATATTCATTATCCATCATCTATGAACACAACACATAACTTGGTGGGGTTGACTACTCGTATTTAAAGAAATAATATTAAAATTTAGGAAAACTTAAAAACCACGTATTGATCTTGGGCTGTGATGATTCTAGAGACAATTATCCTGGCGATCCTGATCAGGATAGTTATTAAATTATTGTTTTGACATTGTCCTTGATATGAGTGAAAATTTTCAATCGGCCGTCTGCAAGTTGGTGAAAAAAGATTGTGTTACATAGATAGATAAATAGATTCATGTAAAGCTAATAAAGCGTGGTAAAAAAAAGATTAAATTTTAAACAACACTAAAGAGTATACAGTGTACATAGACATTATACTACTGCATATTTATATCGATGACATTGTACGACATCCCTGAGGACAACCCACAATGTGCAATTTTTTCATAGGTGTGATGTAACATTAAAATATTAGCTTCCATTAGCTTAACTAATGTAGGTGTTGCCTGTTTGTTCTTTATATGTCGCATTTATCTTTTTTATGTCGCAGTGTTAAATGAAAGGCAATTCAATATGACAAATTTCTTATTATAATGATTTCTTAAATTTACGCGAACACTACACATTGAATAAAACTAAATTTACGGATTTTATCGCGTTTATTTAACTGATTTTACTTATTTTTAATTCCCGACGTTTCGGGTGCTTTTCAGCGCCCATGGTCACGGGGGGGGGGGACTGGGATGTTAGACGTCCCAATGTCATAGGTAGCCCGGCTACCTTCAGTTTTTTGATATTTATTTTTCGGTCCGATTTACGCAAAACGAGCTTACAGTATCTTGAAGTCTTGCAGTGGTATACTTGGGTTTGGGTTTAATTTTGTTAATTATAGGATCCCAAGCAGATGGCAGCACCTATCCATCTTCTCTATTGAAATTAGGATGTTTTTTAATTTCAATAGCCTCACGTATCATCCTTGGTAAGAATCGGTGTTCTTTTGCGAGGACTTGTGGTTTATCAAATCTGATGTAAATTTAGTTTTATTCAAAATTTCTTATTTTCACGCTTTATATGTATATATCTATGTATGGGTGACAACATATTTAATAATTGATAACAATACAGTAATTTTATTACTATGACCTACTTTTGTCACTTGGATCAGCATAACAATGCGTGTTCTTGAAACTTTTTTTAACTCTGATATTATTAAATAAAGAAAGCTTTTTGAACTATGATTATGAGCATGACAGTTAGTTCCGTTAATAAACAGTTTGCAGGAATTTTCCCTGCATGCTCTTGGACTTTTCATGTGTACTACTCGAAATCAAATGAAATGAGTGAATTTTTTGAATGTGAATTGAATTAAAAGGCCAGTTGTAGGTCAAGAGCAAAACGCTTACGATAAGTTTATTAATACGCAAGCAACTCGAGCTCGATTTCTGCTGACCCCACTAAAGTTGTTAATTGCAATTAACACTTAAGTGGCTCCTTGGCGCAGTGACTTAGCAGTGAATTTGGGCGCTGAGAGCAACAGGTTCGAATACCTCACGGAACAAGTATTTATATGGCGTATAAATAGTTGTTCCGGGTCTGGATGTTTGCCCTTCGCGAAATTTATTAGAAAACTAAACTAAACTGCCTCCACCACACAGGAGAAAATCATAGTCACTTGTTTGGATGTGAAGGAAAACATAGGAAAACTAGCACGGCTGAGAAATAATATAAACACTGGAACAGCGCGGCGGACTATTCTAATAACTGCTTCATAACCCTATCCGAAATAAGAGGAGTCCTGTTCTAACTGTGGGACGGATTTAGGTTGTAACTTTTTTAACTTTTAGTTGATTTTCCGTTTTACCATGTTCGTATCTTTCGTTCAGGAACTTGTAAATTTATTTTAAAGAACAGTTATTCAGAATACGGTCGAGTATTTGTTTATGCAATCTGTTTTCGCACACGCTAACTGTATCGTTATCTATATCTCAGAAAAATTTCGCTATAGCATTTATTACGATTATTTTCTTACGTTCCTTGACTACTTTGATATATTATGTAGTTTCTTTTGTAAAAATTACCCCGGATTGCTTTTACCACAAATCATTTAAGGAATTGGAACCTATTTTCAATTTATTTCACATTTATTTTTTT